TGAAGCTATAAATGGCAGACTTGAAAATGGCGTCACCTTTTTCTAGTTGTCGGTGCTGTTGGCGCTTTCACCAAATGAAATTTCAGGAGCGCTTTCTTGCCAATTGCAACTACAACAAGCAATCTGGCGCAAGTAGAAACGAAAAAGCCATATAATGCGTTCCGAAACACACGAAAGGTCATGCAACGACCCTCGTCTAAATGTCGACCTGGGCTCAAAGTAGGTTAAAAATCATTTTTCAGCCACCTATTGCACACAGTGCATCCCTCACCTCCTTCTTTCTTCCGAATCCGTGTCCGTGTCCGTGTCCGCATCCGTGTCCGTATTCGTGTCCGTGTCCCTGCCCCTGGTCAGAAACAAGAAAGTACATGGCTAGGCGGCAACATGCCAACGAACTGAAAAAATCAATTTTTCAACCATATAATCCCAAGCCCACAGAAGGCGGAAAGGGGGCTGATCGGGGATTGGGGGGGTGGCGAAACGTGCCTAACAACTGACAAACTCGTGCAAAATAAATTGCAGCCTTGCACTAGAGAACCCCCCTGAAACAGAAAAACGTGTGCAACCCCAAACAAGCGAAAGAGACGGGGTATTGAGAGAGAGAGAGAGAGAGAAAGAGAGTACTGCAGACAGTGCATCGGACATGCGCTTTCTGTGGTACAGTTTTTCAGCTTACCGTGCTTAAACAAACCCGAAACCCACCCAGCTTGTTTTGCTGGGCGGACTAGGTTGATTTTGGCCTTAGCTACTCGACCGGCTGGCCATCACAAATCATCCTAGCTACGGCCAAAGCCAAGGTGGAGCACCCCCATAAAAAAACCCCAACCACCTGCAACAATCATCCCCTTTGAGGGAAAACTCTGCAGTTTTGGTGGTTAGTTGGGCCTGCTCAACTTGTTTTGATTTAGGGTCGTCGGCTTTCGATTATATAATCGCCTGCAATGTCGTCGTATTCAAATTCTTAGTCCCTAGGTTAATGCAAACAAAACGAGCGATATACACAGAAAATGTGTCAATGATGTGAGACGAGCTTTATATGAATTTTCTTAGGAGATTTGATGTTTCAAATCGATTATTTTTTTTAGATTATCAAATAATCACTGTCTTTTCCTTTAAACCAGTTAGGCAAATGACGTAAATTCATGTTGACCAAAGCGGATAATGTACTAAAATATAACAAGTAGATTCCCACCGCTCAAAGAAAAATCCACAAATAGCCATTTCGGATGATTTGCAATGTGAGTTATGATTAACGATGGATGTGGCGCCAGGATAAGACAATAAAAATCTACACATTATCAAAACAGAATTCGTATTCTCTTGCTTGCTGCACATTAAATTGCAAGTTGTGAACAATTTGTTATGGAGTATTTAAAGAAAAATTTCGAAAACCTCTGCTTACCACAAATTTTCGGACTAGGGTTTTGATAGGCCAGCGAATAATTCGTTTTTTAAAAGTTTAATCTTGAGATGGGATAAAGAAAACCTAGTAGACATGAATGATGCACGTACAGCCGCTGCACCGTTTAGTACCAGCTCACCAATACCAGTTGTATCAGAAAAATGTCAATAAAAAACGAGACTGTTAATATTCAGCTTTTATTTTGAGGCTGCAAATCGTTCAAGCAAACTTTGGCTAGCCCGACTGTTTTCCACGACTTTCGGATCTACTAGACAGCTACTGTGCTAATATGCGAGGGGGGTTTGAAAGGAACCTATGTATTTACATTGCTTCTCTGTTCTCTGCACAGAAGGCGCTATTTGTACAGGCCCGCCTGCCTCTTCTCTTATTTGCCTCTTTTTATGCATTCACAGAAAACAAGCCGCTTAAAAATATTGCATTCACAGCACTCGCACACACACACGCACACTGCAAAATGCATTCAAAGAGACATTTTCGCCATAGAATAAAGCCGAAGAACAAAAACAAGAAGAACAGCAATAACAGCAACAACAGGAGCAGCAGTAACAAAAACTTATATTTCTTTGCCTAGAACAAAAAAGTGTTTGTGAAAAAAAAGCATTGAAAAGCCAAAGCGAACGGGCGAAATGAGATGCAAAATGCAAAATGCGAAATGCAGTAAACGAAGCCAGAAGGGAGAACTTACCTATACCACTATGGAAACTTGTGCGACATGCAATCCACTCTCCCGCACACACACACACACACACACACTCGCACACATAAGTGGGGTAGGGGGGTCACTGACGCCGACTGCGCTGCCCGCAGTGACAGTGGCAATGCCAAAGGCAAACTGCATATTTTCGAGGCCTACATCAACATTTTTCAGCTTTTTCAGCAAGGGCGTGCAGCACAAGGGAGACAGCACGAGCAGACAAGGAGGCACAAAGAGGGAAAGAAAGAGAGTGAGAGAGAGAGAGAGAGAGATAGCGTGCGAAGAGAGCGCAGGCTGCTGGGCGCCCAGTGCTGACAGCTCAAAAAAAGCTAGACAAGCAAAATTAAGTTTATTCATAAATCCGTTTTCTCGACTTAGTGGGTCTTCGAAAGGTTAAAAAGTGTTAAGCCCTTTATTAGTCCTTGAAAAACTTTTATGGGGCAAAGTCAACCTGCCCCAATATCTAACGAATAGAGCTTATAAAGTAAATGTCAGTGGGATCCATAGATAGCTCTTATAAAATAAGCCTGTGTTCATCTTTAAAGGGCATTTTATTCAACTATTGGGATGTAAATACAAATAACAGTATAAATTGTAGCAATTCGTTTATGACGTACATTGAAATGAAAAAGTTATGTACTCTTATTGGTTCATAGTTTTTGTGTTCACTTGATAGTCACTATGTTTTTTCCATCTAGCGGAAAAGTCTGCCCTGCCAGCACTAAAGTGGAAGTTGTGGGGCTCTGGCTGCAGTTTGATTTCGTGGCCATGTATATATGGATATAGCTTTCTGGCACCGCTTCGCCCCCTCCGTCCGTCCCGATGGCGCTGCCTTGGCCCTCAGTCGGCAGAGTCGCTTACATGGATTATGTGGGTATGTAGTGCGGAATGGCGAACGGAGGCCGAGCGACTAAGCACAATAACACAATGAACTCCAAACGTGGGCAGCTCCAAAAGGGGGCGAATGGGTGGCCCTTGGGTGGACTCGGGGGTGTCTTTTATGCGCGCTACGCTGTTGCCGCTTTGGCGTCCCTTTTTTTTTTTTGTTTCATCCATTGCCGTTCTGCCTTTGTTTCTCTTGCTCGATGGCGTTTCGCTCCTCTGCTGGCATTGCGTGCGATGGAAAATGTCTTTTCATGGATGGAAAATGAAATGTGGCTGTGCTGTGCTTGGTGTTTGTAGGCAAGTTGCATTTTAGCGTAGGGAAATAATTACCACCAGTCATAAAGTTGATGTTACATACACGCTCTCTGGGGCGCAAAGAATTTTTGTGTGTGCGAGCAGGTAATTGTGCAGCTTTTCCAGTCGCCTGGCGCCTACTTAGCTGTGCTCCATTGGATTTGCAGCGGCAGTGGCCATCCCGTGGGATGTAGTCAACCCCCTTTTTTTCCATGACATTGTTACTACAACCAGCTTAGAGGAGCCGGTAACTGCAGCAGGTTTTTACTTTAAGCCACGCGATTTCCCTGCCAAAGCAGCGGCAATTTTCCACATTTCTACTTTGGCGCTCACACACACACAGACACACACACAAGCGCGGCTTTCGAGTGCAGTGAAAATGCAGTCAAGTTGGCGTCTCCCCTTTTTCCATTTTCCTTTTTCCATTTTCCATGAGCCGCTGGAGCAGACAAAGTTTGCATGACGCCGTCGTTTATTTCATTTTCTCTGCTGTCCCGCGCTCCTTCCTTCGCTGGCAGTGAAATTGAAACGCAGTGACTGCAGCAGGGGAGGGAAAGTAGCCGTGAGCCAAGAGCCAAGACAACGGGGCGTATGGGTAATATTTATGGTCATGCGCCTCGTGGGCTGAAGGGGGAAAGAAGGGGTTGCTAGAAACTGTGTTAGGCCGACAATGCACTGCGTTGCACTCGGTTGCAGTTGCAGACCGGGTGGTGAAGTGGTGTAGGAAGACGGAGCAGGAGCAGGAGCAGGAGGCGCTGGTTGCACTTGTGGCCAAGTGACGTCTTAGCCGCTTTGGCTTCGATTCCTCCTGCTCCTTGTACTTTAGTCAAGTGTCTGAGACGTGTCTTGGGCCTTTGCTGCTGCTGCTGTCACTGTCATTCCTGTGGCTGTTTCTGTTGCAGTTGCGACAACAGCAGCGCGTACTTAAGCGCTGCCAACGCCCACTTTCCCACCTATCCAGCCCCTTTCCAACTGCCCCTCCTTGGCACATACATAGTTAGTGTCTTTGTGGGGAAAACTTGCACTTGATATTCTTTTATCTCTTTGTGGGAGTGTTGTGAACGTGACTATTTGTATAATGTCTCTCCAGCACCATTCATAGTTACCGATCCACCACTCAATTCCCCTTTATAAACGTAATCGATTTTGGGTCTTGATGGTTTATGTGTAGAAATAGAAAAAAAGTACCAAGCTTGAAGGGTTTGGTCAAATTTTATATCCAGACTTTTAGTAAGGCTTAACTTTTAAGATTTAGCAAGTAGCCTAATGAAACATTTTTCGAAAGTTAAATTCGATATCCACTTTTGCCGTAATCTTTCGCTAACGGATGCTTTAACTTTCCTGTCCAAACATTCCCTTGATCGATTTTGGTTGGCGGGAATAATTTCGTGCCTCATTCCGTTGACTTTGAGCGACAACGTTAATTGAATTTTAAATTTCTCGAGGGACAATGGCGGGGGTGGTTGTTGCCAAACTCCGTTTACCAGCTATCGGATACAGTGAAACAGCGAAACAGATTAGCAAGCAAGCAAAATGTGTTCCAGTCGAATCTGGAGCTTGCAAAACATGCAAATGACGAAGAACATAGAACTCCGTCACAGTAAATTTATTTATTTGGGTCTAATGTTTTATGGATCGACTGCTGAACAGTACACATACTAACTAGATGTGTCTCCCTCCCTTTTCCCTTCGTTTCGCCAACAGGTCGCGACGATCTCTCGCCCTCCAGCAGCCTGAATGGATATTCGGCGAACGAGAGCTGCGATGCGAAGAAGAGCAAGAAGGGTCCTGCGCCGCGGGTGCAGGAGGAGCTGTGCCTGGTCTGCGGCGACCGGGCCTCCGGCTACCACTACAACGCCCTCACATGCGAGGGCTGCAAGGGCTTCTTTCGGCGCAGCGTAACGAAGAGCGCCGTGTATTGCTGCAAATTCGGGCGCGCCTGCGAAATGGACATGTACATGAGGCGCAAGTGCCAGGAGTGTCGTCTGAAAAAATGCCTGGCCGTGGGCATGCGGCCGGAGTGCGTTGTGCCGGAGAACCAGTGTGCGATGAAGCGGCGCGAGAAGAAGGCTCAGAAGGAGAAGGACAAGATGACCACTTCGCCCAGCTCGCAGCATGGCGGCAACAGCGGCAGCTTGGGCTCCGGCCACGCCCACGAATTTGTCAAGAAGGAGATTCTTGACCTGATGACATGCGATGCGCCACAGCATCCCACTATTCCGGTAAGAATGGAAAGCTAATGAAATGTATTCCTTTGATACCACCTAACACTAACAATTTTTGTTATTTCGCTACAGCTACTACCTGATGAAATTTTGGCCAAGTGCCAAGCGAACAATATACCTGCATTAACGTTCAATCAGTTGGCCGTTATATACAAATTAATTTGGTACCAGGATGGCTATGAGCAGCCATCCGAAGAGGATCTCAGGCGTATAATGGTGAGTCTTACTACAAATCCCGCAAATGCTTAAAAGTCTTACAACGCGTTTCCACTGCAGAGTCAACCCGATGAGAACGAGAGCCAGACGGACGTCAGCTTTCGGCACATCACCGAGATAACCATTCTCACAGTGCAGCTGATTGTTGAGTTTGCTAAAGGTCTACCAGCGTTTACAAAGATACCCCAGGAGGATCAGATCACGTTACTCAAGGTGAGTACTAATTACAAAAAATGGGTTTTTAAGACTAGAAGACTAACACTCCATTATGTTATATAGGCCTGCTCGTCGGAGGTGATGATGTTGCGTATGGCTCGCCGTTACGATCACAGCTCGGATTCCATATTCTTCGCGAATAATAGATCCTACACGCGGGACTCGTACAAAATGGCCGGAATGGCCGACAATATTGAAGACCTGCTGCATTTCTGCCGCCAAATGTTCTCGATGAAGGTGGACAACGTCGAATACGCGCTACTCACTGCCATTGTGATCTTCTCGGACCGGCCGGGCCTGGAGAAGGCCCAACTAGTCGAAGCGATCCAGAGCTACTACATCGACACGCTACGCATTTATATACTCAACCGCCACTGCGGCGACTCTATGAGCCTCGTCTTCTACGCCAAGCTGCTCTCCATCCTCACCGAGCTGCGCACGCTGGGCAACCAGAACGCCGAGATGTGCTTCTCGCTCAAGCTCAAGAACCGCAAGCTGCCCAAGTTCCTCGAGGAGATCTGGGACGTGCACGCCATCCCGCCCTCGGTCCAGTCGCACCTGCAGATCACCCAGGAGGAGGCGGAGCGGCACGAGCGGGCGGAGCGAATGCGCGCCTCCGTTGGCGGCGCCATCACCGCCGGCATCGATTCCGAGTCCGCCTCCACTTCGGCGGCGGCGGCAGCCGCATCCCAGCATCAACCTCAGCCTTCGACACAGACGCAGACGCAGAACGAGGCGCAACATCAGTCGCAGGGACAGGGGCAGACGCAGCCGCAGTTGCGTCCCCAGTTGCAGGCTCAGCTGCAACCACAGCTTCAGCCGCAACTTCAGCCGCAGCTTCTGCCGCAGCAACAGCACCTTCCCGTTTCCATTTCCGTGCCCGTGCCCGCATCCGCATCCGTAAACGTAACCGGCTCTGGTTCCGTGTCGGCGGTCAGCACGAGCAGCGACTTCATTGGCGGCAGTGGGGCCATTGGAGCCACCACGCCGGCGCCCACATCCTCCAGCAACATAGCGGCTGCCGTTCCAGCCATCTCCACCACATCAGCGGTGCCGATGGGCAACGGAGTGGTGGGTGGAGTTGGAGTGGGAGTGGGTGGCAACGTTAGCATGTATGCGAACGCCCAGACGGCGATGGCCCTGATGGGCGTGGCCCTGCACTCGCACCAGGAGCAACTAATCGGCGGAGTGGCGGTCAAGTCGGAGCACTCGACGACGGCATAGCAAACGCAGCGTCACCACCAGACCATTGGCGTTCTGCTGGATTGAGATGCGCAGCTGAACCCACACGGGTCTATGGGAATGGGGAAGTTCTGTACCGCGGCCGAGTTCCGGGCGAACTTAGTAAGGACAAAAAGAAGTGAATAATTAATGGACAAGCGTAATATGCAGTTATTTAGTCTTAAGCCTGCAAATATTAGAGTTTAGCCATTATCCATACGATTTAACTGATAATACAGCCTATTAACAATTACACAAAAGCTTTCTTGAAACAAGCTTCAACCACAATTGGACAAACGCGTTGAGGGACAGAGACAGAAAGAGAGAGAGAGACAAATTGAAAAGAGAACCATTGAAAATCATGAAATATAGAATCAATTCTTTTGTGGGCAGATGTTCTGCTCCACGATTAATTCTCGAATTTTTCAATATTTTTCAATTTGATCCTCGTAACTGCATGCAAAAACCGATCAGAAAAGAAGAACAGAGAATAGAGAATAGAGCGAGGACCGAGGGAAGAGAGAAGAGAATAAAGATTGTTTATATTTTAAAAATATATAAAATAATAATTACTAACTGTAAACTTAATGAAAGCAACTGTATAATATCTAACTATAACTCTAAATCCTTACTCTAGAGAAGCGAGTAAATCTGTTAAATGAAAGTAATAGTTATGATAATACCATTTAACATCCACCATAACTAAATACATTTAAATTAATTCAAAACAAACAAACTCTAAAAAAAAAACACGCAAAACTTGGACTGATTTTAGAAATATTTTTTAATCATAACAAATGGCGAACTGTAAAAAAATTACAAAAAAGCAAAACTAAACAAATAACAAAAACGAAAATATATTATTATGCCCGCCTTATATTTTTTTAAAAACGAGAATTTAAATTCTAAGATTCTGATAATTTCCACCCAAAAATATATTTGCAAGCAAAAACCAAGAACCTTTGAATATTGGCATCGTTTTTAGACATTTTTTTCAACAAAATTTTTATATTGAACTTTAACAAAAGAAAATGAAATTAAAGTGATTGGAGTCTTACTCGAAAACCAAAAGGCATCAAAAGGTATTAAGTCTAAAATAAATATTCATTGCAAATTCAACGAGCACTTTTAGGTGGAAAATAGTTTTCAATCACTTTGATAACATCCACATAAATTTAAATACACAAACACACACACACACCAAAAGACTTCAATATATATTTATAAAATTTACATTGGTAATTCAAAATTTGTGTGAGTGACAAAAATTCAACAAATTTGGCGAAATCAAAATTAATTTAATGAAAACCAACACAAAAAACGTGCAAATTTCTTTACTTTGGCAATTTTATGTTAAACAAAATTAAATGCAATTGATTTTCAAACATATTTTTCTAGTTTTTATTAGTTTTATTTTGCTTTGAGATGTACATTTGAAATACATTTTTAAAATTGTTGGCCTTATTTTAACTTAAATCAAATTTATTCTAATTTTAGTAGCAATTTGTGTTTGAAAACAAAAAAAGAAGAAACTATTGTAAAATATTAATAAAATTAAACATAAAGTTAAAAGTGGAATTCATTTATTGTGTAAAAAGAAGATAACATAACATCTTACGTAGCTTTCTACTTGAATTGTGCAATTTTTTACTTTTACTACTAATCTTAATTTAAATATAATTTTACACACAACGCATACACACACGCCTACACACACAGCCACACATGTAAACATTTAAGTAAACTTAATTTATAAAGATGAATTTGTGTAAAGTTGAACTAAAAGTAGGATGAAATCAAGGATATATATGGAAGTAACTCTAATCAAACGAGTGCAATGCTTTCGAGGAGAGAATTCTTATTAAATGTAGCCTGCACTTTGACAAACAGAAAGCAGTGAATTATTTATTCATCATATTCGAAATTGGACGGAGGGCACCTGCAAGGGAAGATCCAAACCAGCAATGACCCCGCACATCAAATTCATTATAAGTTTCGTTTTTACAATCGGTTTAAGTTTGATTCTTTCTAGCATGCACTCGAGCACGTTCAATTATTATTATAAAAAATATACATAGTTACGTTTATGCATAACTTGTTTTGTAGTTCTACACGTAATGTAAAGAAGCAAACTCTATCGTAATACGGAATATTTTTACCTTTTTACCTAATTGCCGCAAGTGGAAGAAGTGAAAGCAAGCAAAATATATACAATATATGAAAAAATATGTTGAACAAAACAAAAACAAGACAACAAAAAAATTTGCAAAAAACATAAACCAAATCCCCAGTGTTTTTATTTTTGCCAAATATTTTTCAGTCATATTCAATGCGTTTTATTTTCGTTTACTATGGAAAAGATAACAACTATTGGGATGTGAGTGAAAGACTTATGAGCTAGAAATTCAGAATTTGAACAAAATTTGCATTCGATGCAAATGGCTGTGAAATTGGCTAAGAACGAATGGAACAGATGAAAAATGGAGGAATTAGTAAGCAGAAAGCAGTTTTGTATCTTTTCGACACTTGGTTTATGATTGGTTTATCTTTTCAATGGATGAAACAGCAACAAAGCTATTAAATAGCTTTAAGATGTAATGTTTAAGTCAAATTTATTTGCTAAATATATTTTTGAAAGTCAGAATGTGGCCGGATATGGATGACTTTCAACATTATTATAGATATTCGATTTGCAATTCCAAACCCAAGTCGAGTGTTGAATATAGTATAAGTGAAAATAATAATTACCCTCGATAGACCCTCGCTAAATCTTTCAAATATTACATTATAGCTCGCCTAAGATCTGTACATATGCATATATTAATAAATATATATTTATAGCTCTCGCTCTATAAGAATGAAAACAAAGAATGCGACTAACAAAAATACAAATAATGCAACCTGATGAATTACGAAAATAAATGATTGTATGGTATAAAGTAACAATTTGTTGACAGATCCATTCATATAAAGAAAATAACCAAAACAAATACACAAAGCTAAAGCTGAATCGTGAAACAAAATCGTTATGTAGATTTTTGAAATTCGAAACTTTGTTTTATTTTTATGCACTGTTTTTTGTTATGTGTAAACTCGTGTAACTTGTTTTGCCCCCAATCTCTAGACCTAACTATGTAGAACCCACGACCACGACCGTGTACACAGCCTGTAACCCTAAGAGAAATTGATTGACACTCACACACACAATTACAAGCATTTTGTGTTCAACTTGTAGATATTGATCCTGAATTGAAAAACTACCTCAAGCAAAACAAATGATGATGAAGCAGGCGGGCAACAGATGTAGGGTGATCGAAAGGTTTTAAGCATTATAAAAATAAATGTAACTACAAGCGAGACCTTAGCAGCAGAGCAAGAGCAGGAAAAGAAAAAGAAAAAAAAACAGATACCTTGACAAAGATATTATTTCCGTTATAGAAATTTGTTTTTCACGCACTCTCAGCCCACGACGACATTGTTTCGAACTAAGAATAAAAACACCCCATGCCTTTTTTAGAGGTACCTGGTTTTCCGAAAAAACCATTGCCTAGCTTTAGGCGCAATCAGACTTATAATACGCGATATTGAAGTTTAGTTTTTGATTTTCATAACGCAAGCGAGAACAGGACATAGCTCGTGCTAGAAGCTTCATAAGTTGACTTGAGTTGAGTAGCTTAGTTTTTCTCACTGCCAAATCGAAATTGAGATCTAATACCATGCAGATTGACTAAGTTATCGAGCCGCATCCATTTTTCGAACTTAGAGTAAAATAAAAGGGGAGACGCCATAAGTCTAATTTCATTTGCAATGTCTAGCAATCAGTAATATAAATCTAAATGGTAACATGAATATCTACGAAATATATACAATTATAACAAGCAGTTCAAGATACGATTTCGAGTATATCTTTAAGTCAGAACCTATACGTATATGGATTGACAACGCACACAATTCGAAGACAAAGAACTTAGCGAGTAAAATCATTTTTCCGGAAAACACAAATAGAGAATACAAAATACAAACTGAAAACTGAATTGATGGCATTTTAGTGTAACGAGAAATACAAACAAAGTCGATAATCTAATCAGCATATTCTAAACAAAGCCCATTACACTCGAGATACGTAAGAAGAAATAAAATAGTAAACGGAAAGCGAAAATAACCGATTTAAATCGATCAACCCTCTCCAGAGGAAATTGTGTGTATGGACGGATCGTCTAGAAATAGTTTTCTATTTCACTTGCATTATTATTTACATGCTACACTGCCAGCAAACTTTTTCTTCACCTTTTTAGACTTATTCGCGGAAAGTGTTGAGTCGAATACCAAATATTGTTTCCTTTCTATATCTTCCCATATTGCAAGTATTCCCTGAATTGCCGTATACCGATTTTGATAACGAGAGAGAAGTAGAGATTGTTAGCATTTAAACTGATTAAGCAAATGCAAGCGTATGCATTACCTTCTCCTTACTTGACATTGGATGCACCAATACGAAGAATTCATTTGAGGTGTCCAAAAATCACGGTGCATAAAATATATACTTTCGGGATATATATCTAGATGCACTCATTTAAATGTACGGATTCTGACATCTAATTTGAAAATCTGTTTACTAAAGTTAATATTATTGCTAATATCTTGCAATACAGCAAGTTGGAAACTTTTGTTCTTTCAAAATCGAAACACTACATTAAGTTAAAGAACGAGAAACAGAAAAAAGATTGGGACGATTATAAACAGGTTATTGTGGAATAGGGCATTTTCGAGGGTCTGACGCATCGTCAGCAGCTAAAGCTGCAACTTAAGGCGTTAATAATTACATTTTTGGATCTTATTTCATAATTAACATTTATTTAGGCCTAGATACACTTACACTTTGCATAGTTGTATAACTAAGTTGTAAATATATACATACACATAAATCTAACAGAAGTCTATATATACGATATATGAAACGTGTAATAAAATAAAAATGATATATTTAAAACTTTTGTTTCACTTGTGTATTTCAGAAAATGACCAAGATTGATCGCATTTCTATAAATGCTAAAGGCAGTTTGAAAGTTTTTTTTTTTTTTACATAAAGTACAAAAACAAAAATAAGTAATAATTTAATTAAAAAAATGTTTAAAAAATTCTAAATACAAATTTGACGCTTAAAAAGTTTTGAAAGTTTTATTGCAAAATTTAAGGTTTGATCAGAAAATATATTTTTTTATTGGGACTATAGTTGTTCACTAGAGTGAGTGAACTGAACATGTTTACAATTATTGGTCTTTTTTTGCTCACTTGATCAGTTGTTCAGTTCAGTTTCTCAGTTATTCAGTTAAGCAGTTGCTATTCTAATGCAAACTAATTTTTGATATCCGGAAAAACTTTAATAATATTTGTGGCAAAAAATAATAATATAATCTTATATGTTAAAAGAATATTATATGCCCAATGAAATGAAAACCTGTGTGAACGCTTCGCAACAAGAAGCCGTTGTTGCGAATTGTGCCAGTATGAACGTAGTTCCAGTGGAAACCGAGTATTCTACTAATTTGGTATTTTTCAATTGGGTAATTTTTCAAAAAGTTTATTACGTTGCACAAAAACGGTCACACTGAACGATAGACGCTCCGTTCTGCGGAAAATTTACTATATTTAAGTAAAAGGTAATTGTGTGATTTGTTGATAGCGAGGAAACCCTAAAAAAGCCGTTGTAAGCTTACAATTTACGTTCGTAAATCGACAAGGGCACTAAACGTACTACATAGCCGTGCCGCGAAACACGTAAGCGATTTTGCGCAAATTGGCAAGATGGCGGCTAAAGTCGGCTCGATGAAAAACAGAAAATTGCACAAACTAGAATTGGAAGATGCTGGCTTGCCAGCCCAAATTGGCCACTGTGCAACATTGAGCGAATAAAACCTTTGGAGTCGTAAAAGTGAATGCACAGAGCGGCCTAGAAGTGAGGTTATGGACGAGCCACTTTCACTTACGCAGCCTCTTAACTCCTTGCAGACAACCAAACAATGGCTGATTCGGACGACGAGTACGACCGCAAGCGGCGGGACAAGTTCCGCGGGGAGCGCAGCGACAGTTACCGCACGGAACGCCGCGACGAGCGCCGCCCGGTGGGTGGCTCTGCCGGCGCCCGCGACGAGTGGTCGGAGCGGTAAGTGGAGGTCACCTATGCGCCATGACATGACACCATTACTGGACTTTACAGCAATCCATTCAGGGGCGCGGCTTCAGCAGGCGGTGGCGGCGGCGGAGGAGGAGCCCGTCACAGGCCGGACTACAGCGACTACCGGGGCCCGGGGGCAAGGCCGCGTTATGGGTCACCTGGCCGGGATCTGCCGCCCGCCAAACGGATGCGACCCGACTGGGGCGATAGCGATGTGCGTCCCAATCCACGCTTCGGAGGCTATGATCCGTACTTGATGCAGGCCTGGAACGATCACTATCAGTCCATGCACTCGGCGTATTCCCATGCCGGCCATGCACCACCTGCCCGGGAATCCGTGAGCAGCGGCGGCGGCGGCGGCGACACGCTCACCCAGCCGGCCATGCTCACCCTGAAGCAGTTTCTCGACACCCAGGACGAGAACATCTCCGATTCGGAGGTGATGCGCAAATACACCGAGTACAAGACGGACTTCAAGCGGCAGCAGCTAAACGAGTTCTTCGTGGCCCACAAGGACGAGGAATGGTTAGTAGCTGACCAGAGGGTGCATCTACGTCTACTACTACTACTACTACTACGGTCTTGTTGATATCTCTGCCTGTGCAGCCCCTTGCGTTTTTTAGACCTGTTCCTGAGCCCCTCCTGTTCGCCACTCATAACATTCTGTATATTAAGTTTTTCTCTGCAGCTTATTGAGTTTGTGACAGACAGAGACTTCTCTGAGAGGTTCTGCGCCATGTCGCAGAGCTGCTGATATCTACTAAATTCAAACTTGTAAATTACCCGGCGAGCAATGCCGAGGTGTGTTCATATTTTAAAACCGCGATTTATTTAAATTCGATTGTCGAGCAAAAGCCCAAATAACTATAAAAACAATCCCATAAATAACGAAAGCGCAAAGCTTGCAAGGTAAGATTTTGGGTGATAACTAAAACCAACAAAAAAAAAACCTATCTAAACCAGTGAAAATCTAACAAAACTGACTATCAACAGCGCCATAGTCTTCGCCCGGGCGAAGAAATGAAAAAGTAGAAACTAAATCGTCATCGGGGAAAAAAAAACCCTGTTTCTGCTTCTCACTAATTACCACAAACAACAATTATTTATCTGCAGGTTCAAAAACAAATATCACCCGGAGGACAGTGTAAAGCGCAGCGAGGAACAACGTGGCTTCCTACAGGTACTTTCACTTTGTTCACCTTTGTATCGCGCAGCTATTTTCAAACTTGTTTTGTTACAGAGACGCACCGATGTGTTTGTAGAGTTGCTCGAAAACGGAACTATTGGCGGTGTCAAGGTGGATTCCTCGCAGGGCGATGCCCTGATCCGTGTATTGGACACATGTGTCATAAAGCTGGAAGGCGGCACCGACGAGGACCTCAAAGTGCTCGACGAGAAGCCCAAGGAGCCGGTGGTCTATGAGCGAAAGACGGAGCCCACTGACTCGGCCAAGATGCCAGAGGAAGCAATTAAGAGCCCCAAAGCAGAGAAGCAGAACGAGGAGGACTCGCTGCCAGTGGTTGTGTCACCACAGCGGAAAGCTGTGAAACCTGTCGCCTCCGACGAGGAAAACTGGGACGATGAGGAAGCCGAAACTGCGCCACCCAAGAAGGAGGTGGCAGAGGATTCCAAGGCCAACGATTCCAGCGCTGAGGACAAGCAGGCGAATAAAAAAAAGACGAAGAAGCGCAAACGGAATAGCAGCGATGATGATAGCTCCTCATCCGACTCCGATTCCAGCTCCAGCTCAGACGATGAGAAGCTAAAAGAGAAGTACGATGTGGAGGATGGTCTGAGGAGCGAGCAAAAAGCCGAGGCGGAGAAGGACAGGCAGGAAGCGGCCAAAGCAAAGCAGGCACCGGAAAGTCCTAAACCGGAAGCGCCCATTGAAAAGCCAGCGCCCGAGTCCGAAGAACCACAAGCAGAAGGCAAACCTGCCGAGAATGACGAGGCAGGAAAGTCACCGGAGTCAGCTTCAAGTGCGCCCAAGGAGGCGGAAAATGGAGACGCCATCAAACTAGAAGAAGGAGAAGAAAATGCTTCTGCTGATGACAACAAAGCCGCTGAAACCGAGACCATTGATCTGGACAAAGTTAAGGAATTCCAGCCAAGAGCCCTACACCGCACCTCCTCCATTTTCCTGCGCAACTTGGCCCCCTCCATAACCAGGGCCGAGATCGAGGGTGTATGCAACCGTTTTAACGGCTACCTAAGGGTGGCCATTGCAGATCCACTGGTTGAGCGCCGTTGGTATCGCCGCGGATGGATAACCTTCATGCGGGACGTCAACATCAAAGAGATTTGCTGGGGCCTGAACAACCAGCGGCTGCGAGACTGTGAAATGGGTGCCATTGTCAATCGAGACCTGAGTCGACGGGTACGCCCAGCCAACGGAATCACCGCCCACAAGCAGGTGGTGCGATCAGACATTAAGCTATGCGCCAAGATCGCTATGAATCTGGACGAAAGGTTCAAACTGTGGACGGAGCCGTCGGCAAACGAGGCAAACTCTGCCGGCGAGTCATCGGCAAATGGCAACGCCTCCACGTATGGCTTCAATTCGAAGAATCCGGTGCTGCAAAACATTACCGACTACCTCATCGAAGAGGCGTCCGCCGAGGAGGAGGAGCTTCTCGGTCTCACCGGCGAAAACAAGGACAGTGAGGGCGAACCCATCGAGCGAGACGAGCAATTGATAGCCGTTCTCGACCGACTGGTGCTTTACTTGCGCATCGTGCACTCGGTGGACTATTACAACCATTGCGAGTATCCGTACGAGGACGAGATGCCCAACCGCTGCGGCATCATACATGCCCGGGGTCCACCTCCTGCCCGGGTTACCAGCAACGAGGTGCAGGAGTACATCAAGACGTACGAGAGCAAGCTGCAGCAGTTCCTCACCAAGGTTGTCCTACTCAGCGACGAGGAGATTAAGGATCTTGGCTCCAAGGACGCCGAAACGGAGGTGGAGAAGTTCGTGCAGGCGAACACCCAGGAGCTGGCCAAGGACAAGTGGCTGTGCCCGCTGTCGGGCAAGAAGTTCAAGGGTCCCGAGTTCATTCGCAAGCACATCTTGAACAAGCACGAAGAGAAGGTCGACGAGGTGCGCAAAGAGGTGCAGTACTTTAACAACTACCTGCGCGATCCGAAACGCCCCCAGCTGCCCGAGCATCCCGGCAGCTCTAAGCGCCCAGAATCGGATTCGGTTCGCGGCGGCGGAGGAGGGTGAGTGCAGCAGTCGATGATCTGTCTTATACTGAAATAATGAACTTCTTTCTTTAACATAGCTATCGAGCGCCCATGTATCCACCCTTTTCGGCGATGCCCTACGGCTTTGGCCCACCCATGATGGGCGGTGGCCGTGGAGGACGCAACTTTCCTCCCGTTCGCAGGTTAGTACATCGCCCTAAGATTTACTTGCAGTGTAGGAGCGCTAGCGACCATAGGATTCACAATAGTATTACCCAGAACCAATCAATAGATCAATTCGATCTATTTGATCGATCTCAACCTTTCTTTAAGGATCGTAACGATAATGATCTTAAACTGGCCACCTATTCTTTTGCTTGCTTTAGTTAGTGAGGAGAAACCTACAGAACCCTAGACATCATAAACATTGAGTGATTTTATCACTACAGCGGATTAAAACCTCGACCACAGTCACGCCTCGATAAGCACACACTTTTTAGCATTTAGGCGACACCCTCTCTCTCTTTTCCCATGTTTTTGTACTTTGATTTCTCTTTTGTTGGTCTAAATCGAAATTTGTCACAACTTTCTTGTGTCGCAAATTTTTTGCAGAGAATTGCCTTTGGAACACCAGCGCCGGCTTGTCGGTTACCATGATTTGGATGCGCCTGCCAATTCCGATATGTTTGACTAACTAATTGATTAGCACAATACGATACAAAATACAAATACAAATGAAAACAAACAGGCCCACTCGATGCAGCAATTATCGTTTTTTGGCGAGCTCAAGTTTTAAATGCAATTCAAGCAATGCTAGCAAAAGTATCTACTGCATATAAAGATGGTTTATATAATGCGACTACCGACTATCCGTTTTCCTGTACAATATATATCATGCCAATTGTATTAAGAATCCGACAAAGAACGTTGCTAACTTTTATTTACCCGAAATAAATGCGAATCCATAGACTAATCAAAAACGAAACTCTGTAATATTTTGCATATGTATCTGCCCTGCCCCCCCCACAAAAGTCTTGCGTGAATAATTCCAATATCTATATCCATTCTCGTTGCTTACAGACCCGGTGGTTTTGATTATCGACCCAGATCACACTACCGGGACTTGGACGCGCCGCAAGAACCGTACTAGAACTAGCTGTGCCCAGATCACAAACTAAATCTAAATCTAAATCAATTGTATTTATCACATTAACTGCTAAACACACTCAAACTCAACTTAAGTTATCTCAATTGACGCCTGTTTTGTACGGTATACCATTTTGTATGTATTTCACGGAAGAAAGCGAAATAAAGTGCGAATGAAAAGGGAATTTTCTCGAGCTTCTTTTTGAAAGAGCACCCTGTGTGCTCTCGTTCTCCACTTCAACCACCGTAAACAGAGAACAGTGGGAGGGCGCTGCTTCGAAGGGAGCAACACCTTCTCTTAACTAAAAGCAAGAGTATAGTATTTGGAGAAGCGTGCTAAAAATAAGCCCACTGTCGCCGGCATGCTGAAATGCCTCAACCGAGTCAAAAAGAAAATTTCCTTTGCCAACGTAACACTGCGCGGGTCGAGTGGTCTGCCAGTGGAAAAGTATACATATTTGGGGATCAGCGCAATGGTGTCGAGCACAGACTGTCCCGTTTGTGGAGTGGCTGCCTCGCAGGCTTGCACCAGGTGCAAAATGGTGCGCTACTGCGATCGGGAGCACCAAAAGCAGCACTGGCCGCAGCACAAGCGCAGTTGCAGGCCCATCAGCGAGCAGCAGGATGCCCAACTGGGCAGGTATCTAATGGTAACCCAGGACATTGCAGCCGGCCAGACGGTGTTCGTCGAGGAGCCACTGGTGGTTGGGCCCAAGTGGTATCACTCCGACGCGGACAAGGAGGCGCCCATAGTGGCGTGCGTGGGCTGCTGCACGCCCTGCCGTCTCGGCAAGCATCAGTGTCGCAGGTGAAACACTCATTTCTCCTGCCCCCCAGTAGGTATCCAATAGAACTATCCATCCATTTCTTGCAGATGCCGCTGGCCAGTCTGCAGTTCGGGTTGTGAACACGAGGCCCTGGAGTGCAGTGTGCTTAGCCTGGGATCGGGTGCATCGGCACCTCGGACGGATGCCCGCTCGTTGAACGACCACTTTAGGGGCGATGCCCTGCTGGTGCTCAAGTGCCTGCTGCTGCAGCGACAGAGTCCGGCCAAGTGGACGGCACTGCTGGAGATGCAGTCGCACGAGGAGGATCGCAGGGGCACCGAGCTGCACGATGAGGCGGAAAAGCGTGTCGTCAGCTACCTGCAGCAGCGTTTCCTGGGGCGGCTCAAGAAAACGAAGCCAAACTTACTGCCCGACTGCGGAGCGGAGCTACTGCATCGCCTGTGCGGCATCATTGAGACCAACTTCATGGTCATTGAGCTGCCGACGGGAGTGGAGCTGAGCGGATTGTTTCGGCAGGCCTGCATGATGGAGCACGCCTGCCAGCCCAATTGTGACTTCCAGTTCGATGCGATAACTCAGCAAATTGCTGTGCGAGCCGGCTGCGATCTGCGGAAGGGCGACCACCTGCGGATCAGCTACACCAACATCCTCTGGGGCACTCAGCTGCGGCAGCACCATCTGCGTCTGACGAAGCACTTTAGCTGCCGCTGCAGCCGCTGCCTGGATCCCACGGAATACGGGACCTATGTCAGTGCACTGGCATGTCTGGGCGATGTCAACCAGACGTGCGGTGGCATCCACCTGCCCGTGGATCCGCTGGACGAGAACACGCAGTGGAAGTGCGACACTTGTCCCATGCTCGTGGATGGCGCCTACGTGGCCGAGTTGCAGACCCACATGACCGAACAGGTGGACGGCTTGATGGCCGGCTGTCCGTCCGCCAATCAGATTGAACTGCTCCTGGCCCGCCTGTCCCAGATCCTGCACCCCAATCACTTTCACACGTTCAACCTGAAGCACACCCTGATCCAGCTGTACGGCAACGAAGCGGGCTTGGAATTGGGCAGCCTAAGCAGCGATCAACTGGAGCGGAAACTGCGCCTGTGCGATGAGCTGTACAACGTCTGCCGGCGACTGGATCCGTACAGCATCAAGCTCGCCATCTACGTGACGGTCATTCTGATCGAGATGGCCCACGCACTGGAGGAGCAGGCGCGCAGGGCGCCCGGAGAGGAGGGATCCGCTCATCTGGAATTGGCACAGGCTCGTCTCAAGGAAGCGGAGGTGATCCTGCAAAGGGAACAAGACTCGGTGGCTGGCAAAAAGTTGAACGACAAGCTGCAGAACGAGATTTTTGAGTGCGAAAAACAAATGCTAACGCTGTCTTATAACCAAAAACGTGACGTTGGTCAAAAATAATTTTTATATACTCAACAATACAGAATTTAATCCTCTAATTTAAAGTACCAGCATAGCATTAACGCACAATCTTTTACCCCATAAACATAAAATATCCTCTCAGTTAAATGTTCATATGGAAGCTAAAAGTTGTTGTTGCCTCATTTTAATAAAGCTAAAACTCTTTATATGGAATGTGAAACAATACAATATACGGGACAGCCCTAAAGACATTTTTCGTAAGTAATTAAATATTATTTATTAGCATTTATTTTCTTAATTGTAACTAAATTAAAGCAATAGTGATATATTTTACCAAAGTAATTAATTAGTTGATTTTTTAATTGGCTTAACTTCTTCATTAATTTCAGTACTTACTTGTAATGAAAAATAAAACCACAAATTAAAAATGTTTGTTTATACAATTTAAACTATTTCTCAACAAACAGTTTTTAGTTTTTGTTTTCGTAGTTAAAAGTAGAACTAAGTTATATGAAGTTTAATAACACCAAAAACAACTATTTAATGTTTGCAAACCTATGCAATTTTTTAATTAGTATTTAAAAATGCCTGTTGCTTCAAATTTAAACGAGTGTCAAGTGCTCTGTGCTTGAAATAAATTCCCAGTTGCTGTGCTTAACTGCGGATTATTCCTAGTTTTCTTAATATATTAATTCATTTTAAAAAATCTATGTGGATTAGAAAATGATCACTATTGGTTTCGTTAAAACCTACATTTATTTACATATAACAAATGATTGATCCTTAAATTACTGTGCAGCTTGCAGCTCGACTCGCGGCTGTCGCAGCAGTTGTGGGTGCGCTCGAAGGATGTCACGCTGCTGGCGCAGGTTCTTGACGATTCCGGGCAAGTGCCAGGCGTGTCTCAACAGACTGTCACGCACATCGAAGTGGGCGTGCCGCACGCAGCGCAGCTGGGAGCAGTGCGCCACGGTGCGGAGCTCCAAGGCCATGTCATTGATGAGCATGGCCAGGTACTCCTGCGTCTCGTTGATGGCATGCACTTCCAGCGTGAAGTGCGGCCGCTCGAACTGTATCAGTTTGATGCCATAGACAACGGGCTGGCTGTCGTCTGCGGGACGAAGAAGGCCCTTGCAGGCCAGCTCATAGGCCTCCTGGGTCTGCAGATCGACGCCGCAGAGTTCGAACATCTTGCGCTGATGCGAGGCCTGCATGGAGGAGGCCAGGCCGCTGATTCTGTCCGCCGAAACGTGTCGGTGGTTGGAGCGCACAGTGACCCGTGAGTCTGGCAGGTGGGTCTCCGTGGCGCTGCCCAGGCGGCCCGTGATGTGGTAGACTCGCACAGGTCGGTTCTTCCGAATGCTGATGGACTGACCCGTTCCCCTGTTGATGCCCAAGACTGTAAAGAAGTGGTTATTAGTAAGGAAACTAGCGCTGCGCAATCGACTCACGCAAAACGCCGCTGGTGTGTTCGCCCAGGCTGGATACTGTGGTGCAGATCAGGTCCCGCGGCAGGTACCGCGGACCGGCGGACAGAACGTGGTCCGACAGATCCGTCTGGCTGGCTATGTTGTGCAGCACGTGGTCGGCGGCGGTGCCTGTCCCCAGAAGGGGTCTGTCCTCCGGCAATTTACGAGGCTCCCGTTGCTCCATTTCGTTAAGGCCTACATAAAAGCCATTTTTAATTTCAGCATTGATTTGGGGATTTCGGTCACTTCTCCTTACCCTTGCAAATATTGCCGATAATGGCATTGCGCACGTGTTTTACCTTCATGCCGGCCGGTTTATACACATTTAGAATGCCGTTTAAGTGCTTGAACACTGTGGCAGCATCGTAGACCTTCGTGAGAGCCATTTATCCTCAGAAATTACATAAATTAAGCGCATCTAAGAATATTTTTGTTTTCAAATAGACGGATAGTGTTGGGAAGCACGCAGAAACAGCTGACTGCCAATCCTAATATCCAGCCCTAATCGAAATGGAGTAGGGCTGCCAACCCGTGTTATTTAAACTTGTTTTTTATTTCTTTTAAAAATTAATAACAAAATATAATATATAATAAACTTAAAAACAACACGAGGAAAACAAGTAGTTAACCAACTATTTTCTATGGATATTTTGGTTTTTTTCAAACGTGTTTGTAGGCTCTTAAGCTATTTTCCGCAATTTTAGCTTGAGAAGTAGCTACATTTTGGATGCAAGATTTAGCGGATTATATTGGCGCTCGCAGTTTGGTCACATTATTCGCGCTGCACGTGTAAAATTTGTTTTTACTCACCGCTGCCGAAATTTGTTAATTTTAATTTCCAGCCCAAATCCTGGAGAAAATAGTTTGTCGCAATGAAGTGGACTACTGCGAATTTAAAGCACGCTAACTACACGGCAAAGCATGAACTGTATGTGGGAACGCACACGGGCTCCTTCAAACGTAAGTCTGCTTGTTGTTTTTGCAAATGGCAGTGCAATCATTTGAACTGTTTTTCAGACTTGGTGCCCGCTTCGGAAAAGTCTCCGCATGGACAAAGTAACTTGAGCGACCTGGTTGCCTTGGACAAGGATTCTCGCGTCACATCGCTGGGCTTTGGCAACGAGGCTCAGACCGAAATCCTGCTCGGTCGCGCCAAGAACACCGTTGAGCTGCACTCCTTTGCAGAGGGAAAGAGCTCCAGGAAGTCGGTGTCCTTCACTGCCGCACCAATCGTGGGCTTGGCCCGGTACAATGACAAGCTGATTGCCGGCATTGGCAACGGCCAGATTCAGAGTCTGGAGCTGGAGGCGGACGAGGAAGCCGAACCTGTGGTCATCACCGCCGGCAATCAAATCGACCACCTGCGTCAGTGTGCGCAGGTGAGGAACATTGTGGCCACCGGCGGAAAGGAGCGGCAGAACAATCTGAAGGTCTACGACCTGAGCAGCGACGGCAAGCAGATCTTCAGTTCCAAGAACCTGCCAAACGACTATCTGCAGTTGGAGGTGCCCGTCTGGGACAGCGACATCGGCTTCGTGGATGGGCCCAGTGTGCTGGCCACCTGCTCGCGCACCGGCTACGTTCGCCTCTACGATACGCGCAAGCAGCGCCGTCCAGTTGCCTGCTTTGCCAGCGAGGAGCACGGAATGAGTTTCACGACGTTGGTGGCGCGGGGAAACTTCATTTACACAGGCACCACAATGGGCGCTCTGAAGGCCTTTGACACACGACGCATGAAGACCCATGTGCATACCTATAAGGGATTCACCGGCGGGATCAGTGACCTTCATCTGGATGCCACCGGTCGGTATCTGAGCTCGGCCAGCCTAGACCGATATGTACGCATCCACGACGCTGAATCCACAGTGCTGCTCTACCAATGCTACGTCAAATCGAAGGCCACCAAAATCCTAATCCGTCAGCTGGAAAACGAGCCACAGGACAGTGAGCAGCCCGAAGAGGACGCAGATCTGGAAGTGGATAACAACGTAAAGGAAAACAAGAGCCTTAAGGCAACACCGGTAGACAATGAGTACGAGGATTTGTTTGACCAGATGCCCACTGTGGGGTGAGTTTGTTTTCTGCTCTAATTATTCTACTCTATTTATAAGATAAAAATTCCCCTCTTTTTCCCCAACAGCGACAGCGACAATGAGTCTGAAGGAGATGAGGAGACAACTACCAAGCAATCAAAGACCAAGCTGAAACGAAAGTCTCTCAATCAGTCTTTGAAAACAAAAAAGAAAAAGTTGTAAATAGTTAAAGCTTAATCTGTTTACTTGTTAATAAGTAGCCTAAAGTAAAAAATAAAATATTAAGGTTTAATAATAGAAAACAGTTTCTTTTCCCGCATTTCTTGGAAGCTGAGTATTCGTGAGTTGACAGTAGATAAATAGATATAATACAGCCCGAGCTTGAATCATTTAATGTGTAGTCCTGACCAAGACAGGCTTTGAAATTTAATTGTGACCAAGCAAGTTTAGAAGTTTTGTTTGAAAAAAATTAAACAAGCAGAGGCATAACAATTTTCTCTTTTTTTATTTTAAGACACACCAAATTAAAGGGATTCCTAGGCACATGAGTAACATGAATATATAATACAAGTTATGAAATGAACGCAAATACAAAAGAGGACGACGTGGTAATGTCGTAACACCTACACAAAAACCACAGAAACCAAAAAAGCAGAAATATGGAACACTTGTCAAAAAAGGCAGGATGAAAGAGCAGAAATGACGAAGGAGTCGTCGCAGAGTCCTTTCAGCCTCGCAATACATTGTAAGTGGAAGGCCCTAATAACCAGAAGAGACAGAAAGCCCGATGAAGTATTGGATATGTAAGAATATTAACAGGCAGTGGCCCACCTTCCAAAGTTAACCGCGTGGCATGAGCAGTCCTTTGGTTGCGTTTCTTACATTCTACATTTAAATGTGGTTTTCAAAAGTTTCAGAACGGAAAAGGATATTGTTGGATTTAAAAATAGCTAAAGAAAATTTTGAAGTTGCAAAATATTTGTTTGTGGTTTTACAGAAAAGTTGAACCACAGTACCTTTCTGTTTTGGCTACTCAACCACCGAAAACTAACATATGGCTAAAAAATGGTTTTGTTAGGTTTACCAACCAAAACTAACTAAACTTTTTTCGCTGTATAGCTTACAGTTATACGTTAATAGCAGATTTTCAATTCAACGGTTATACATTGTAGTTTAATTCCTTATTCTTTTGCTTGTTTTCTGACAGTTGAAAGCGCATACTTCCACTCCACTAATTTAATATAGTCAGAAACACGTTTTCAGTCACATTATTTTACCCCACTTTTCCCGCCCAAAACCAAAAACAAGTTCAAGTATCTTTTAAAGGGCTCACACTCCCAGTCAGGAAGTTAAATGCCTTTAAAACAAGTTGGCAAACTATGTGGCCCAGTTTTCCAGCCAGCCCTTTCTCCTCCTCGAACCAGAAGTTTTGCGTGTTCAAATCTCCAGCATCTGGAGATCTGGAGTCCCTAAGCCGGGACAATAAAATTCCCAACTTGTACTTGCCCAGCATTCAAAGAACATTGAATCGAAGTTGCAGCAGGGGGAAACAATTTAGAAGAGTTTTTTTCATTCTTTAAACTGCAGTTGGTAGCAAAAGGAGGCCCTCGACTAGATGTTGACTCAGTTCAATATTTGCCGGCGTCCTTAGGTCCTCAGTCCTTAGGTCCTCAGTCCTTAGGTCCTCAGTCCTCGATTGTCATTGTTCAATAGCTCTGAGTGGATTTTAATTAGTCACGATCCACGACACCTGCACTGTGAATGCAAGTTGATAATTCTTCATGTTGATTAAAGCAAATGGGTACTGGCAAGTTGAAAAATTTAATTTGAGCTATGGGGGTTAGTCAAGCTGAAAACTTTTCATTTTTCTTTGCAACTAAAAGTCGGGCAGGTTAATTCTAATTCTGAGATACCAGACAACAAACAACAAACTTTCTATCGCGAGCACGCGTCCCGATTTGGGGGATGTCATAAAGGTTGCCGGTAGATAAGGATAAGCCAGAAGCCCTAGTTCCATCCCTCAGCCACCTCCTCTTCTAAACACCTGCCCACATCCTAAACACACTCAACCCAATGCTGATGCCAGATTGCCTGTTTGTAATCTCACAGCGTTTAGGAAAATTAGCTAAGCGTGCCACAAAAATGAGATGGCGGTGATTGAAGCCTGGATTTCAGTGAAAAATATGAAAGGAAAAAGCGATGGGTAAAATTTTAATTTCATCTTGGCATTTACTGCCTCCCCGTGAAATGTTAGTTATCCCACCGTTTTTTGTAGTTTCGGAAACGCGCCAGCAAAAACTTTTTATTTGGCGAAAAATAATTTGGCTCCGAAAGTTAGCGCCTCGCTCTGGTTACCATCATCATCGTCATCGGAAATTCGGCGCGTGACCTTTGACGCCGCCAAAGTTGGACTTCACCGGAGCAGAGCTAGGAATTTTTAATGTAAGTGCAAAGTTTGTGCTCGTGATTATGTTGCAATTTGCAAATAGCTTAGCTTATATATTTGGCTAAAAGTTGCAGTGACAAAGGATTTGAATTAACTACAAACTGGAAACTATTTTGCCCATCGGGGGTGTGTGTGTGTGTGTGTTTATTCAGCATTAGTTGAACAATGTCCTTGTAGCGTCTCAAGCTCATCGCCCTAATGGTAAGTCAACCCGGCCCGAATCAATCAAATCAACCCATCTGATGAGCTCTGGGATGGCGATGTTTGCCCATTTGGACACCACTTGGGCATGTCTTTTTTCGGATGGGGGATAGGGATATCCATCCTTGGCCTGGAGTGTCAGCTGTCCGCGGCCATAAAAACGAGCTGCGCGTTTATTTGCATACACATCGAAGGCTGAAAGCCACAACGAGCCTTATTACGATTCGAACACAATGAGAAGTGGCCCATAATCGTAAAGAAGGCAAGCAATTCACTGCCTCTGTTTCTGGCCAAGGCAAAAGCACTGCCACTGCCACTGGCGGATCCCCAAGTTCCGGGCAAAGATTTGTATCGTTGGCCAGTGGCTCGACAGCTGGCCAGTCCTTTGGAGGAGAAGGAGGAGGAGCCACAAAGGAGTTGCCAAGATGGGTCGGAAATTATGTGCATTGCAGGGAAATCATGCGCTTTCGTCCACACCCGAGGAGAAATGGAAACGAAAGCCAGGATCTCCAACGAATGCTACATGGAAAACGTGGACCCTGGGGCCGCAATCAATCGATGAAGTAGTTAGCATATTGGAGGCCATTCCCATATACTGTTTTAAAGTGAATCGATACGGGACGAGTTACGCCCCTTACCAAGTACCAAATATTTTGGCATGTGTGCCAATTTTGGTAAGATCGAAGTTAATTTAGCGGAATGTGGCCAAAACAAAATATGTGGGCTAACCAGCGCTCAGCCATGGGCGAAGGAGAGTTGTGTGAGTTGCAAATGTGCCACGGCAGACTGTCTGGCACTTTGCATTTCTGGCCCAATTGACTTTTAATGGCTCCATACTCCTGCGATGCGGCTGAAACAACAATCGCCAATTCGGCTGCCTTTCGTAATGTTTAAGGCAAGGACAAAAAAAGGAAAAAAAGGGTTGCAAAATATTGAAATTGATTTTGGGTGAGATAAAAAAGAAAGCCTCTTACTCAGCGGCCTCCGCTTGCAGGCTTTTTTTTCGGGCATTGCTCCCCGCCCCTTTCTGGCCCAGAAATGCCACTTACTGAATGGCTGAAATCTGCTTGGAAATTCTTCCAGTAAATCCCATTAATGCCGAACAGAGCGAAAACACGAAGGGAAGGGGACACGTCTTGACTAATTACTTTTCATTTGATTTCCAATGAAGCCCGAAGCAGGTGACGAGGGCACCGTTTCGCAAATAAGTTTATTTTTTTTACTTACGGGAAAAAAACCTAATTAGGTTTCCAGCTACTCCAAATTTATTTACTCATGGTTTTTTTTCCTATGATAAATAAGTCATAAATATTCTATGAATAGCAAGATTATCTAAAATCTTTGATTTAATCACCTTAAGCTACTTTATAAAAAAAAAAATTATGACAAATTAGAACTGATTTCGTCTTATTTTTTCTTTGTGCTCCTCTTTCTATGGTAAATCATTTGCATAGATTCCACCGTGGGAAATGTTCGACCATCTTGACCCACCTGCTGCTCCCGCTTGTCTTTTAATTGTAATTGTTGTTTTTGCTTAAAACTGTCACTAAATAATGTGTGTGTGCATTTAAGCCGCTTTGGGCGGCGGGTAAGCCTATTACGTGAGCCCCACCGCCGTTTTCAGGGAAAAAAGAGCGACAGGTAGCTGGAGCAGAAAAGCTGTTGATTTAATGTGATGTCGCTGCTGAACAGGAGTTCTAGATCTTATACGGCCCTTAAGCTTACCCTATAAGGTAATATATACAATCTTGACCGCAGCGATATATGGGTAACTATAATAGCTATAGTACTAGAAATGGGAAGGTGGGAAGGTGGACTCCAGTGTTGCGGTCTTACATCAGAAACATTCCATCCAAATTACTCTTTATCACCCTTCACCATCCTTCAGTGAATTCCTTTGTTACGGACCGTTTCCTACGCTTTTGGCCAGGCCTTTCTGTTTACTCCATGGCCGGATTAGGCCAGCGCGGGGCCTGTAGCAAATTCTGTCAAGGAGCCCTTGATTCTCTTCAAGTTTATTGAATTTCGATTAATCTAAATTTTATTTGTGGAAATTAAAAAAACTCAGCAATAAATATAAACTTTTTAGTTAATACACCCCTTGCTCATCTTGTATAAATCTTGTTATTTTTTTTGTTTTTTAAGCTTTTTTTTTTTAAATTTGCAAATACATTGATTTAAAAAATATGTTCACACTTTCATCTAAACTTATACTTTTTTTACGGGAATGTGTGGGCCCCAAAAATTAACGGGCCCATACGCTGGCTACATGGTTAATCTGCCTTTGCTCCTCTCCTAGACAAACGTTTTCTATTGATTTCAATTTAATGGTAATGGTGAATTTGCACAAACGAAATTAAATACAAGGGATTGAAATTCAATAAAGTTGAAAGTGTAGACTGCGGATAGAAACGACGTCTGGTTCATCTAGAATTCATTACATAATTGCCATGATAAATGGTTCGGAGGATAAAGAAAATATTGATGATGTTTTCTGTTTAAGCTTCATTCATGCCAATTTAATAGTCGAGTCCCAAGTTAAGGCAATTCATTAGATCTCATCAAGCAAACAAGCAAAGCCGCAATAATGCCGGAAACAACTTGCTGGCCTATGGACTTAAGCAGACCGGAATGTAAATAAGAATTTAGCCGCAATGAAAACACGATTCGGCAGTGGACCATAACCAGACAGGATGAGGACCTAGCCTCTACTCCTGCTTAGACATCTGTTCCGACATCTTCCTTCCTTCCTCTTCCTTGAATTGTTTAGCAGGGCATTGCAATTAACAAGACAAAAAGCGGCGAAATCAGAGCAGGCCGAACCTTAAATGCCCTTGGATATAGTGTATACTTATGCACTGGTATTGGTTAGAACTTAGCAAGTCTTTTAATGGTTAGAAACAGTTAGAAATTTTAAAAAATACTAATATCTAAAAATACACACTCAAAATTTCATATCGTTCTGGTGAATATTTTCGAAGTGACACCCAAATTTTAAAAGCGATTACTCAAAATGGTGTTTTTGAAGACAGTTACCAACAAAGCTCGAAAACGGCTGAAATTTCTCAAATTTTAACACGAGATTCTTAAGTATATTTTTTAGTATTAACTGAAGATTTTTTTTTATCTGATAAATATCTTTCTTTTATGAGCAAGTTGAGACCGAAATTTTGCTAAAAAATCTATTTCTTTTCTTTGAGAAACCGCAATTTTGTTAAAAGATGTTATTTTTCTTATTCCTTCGATTAATTACTAGATTAGACAATACTTTAAGGACACCTCTTTGATTTTGTAAGTTTTGGAGGATCCAGTCCAAAGATATAGTGGTCACCGCAAAACGCCTTTTTTTTTAAAGGATCTCCCGGAGATTAGCAGCAGCTCGTTTCCAAATAAATATTTCTTCCAATACTTAGTCTTAAAATACATAATATGTGTACAAAATGCAAGATAATTAAATTTTATAGTTTACTCAGAAAAAATGTTTAAAAATTCGCTTTTTTTCATTCTTCTAACTGTTATATACAGTTAATACAAGTTAAGTTTCCCAAATAAAAATAGCATTTGAGAGTAATCATGAAACGAAGAAACAAATGTAAGTGACTTTTCTAACTATGAAGTGTGTGTATTTATAGGGGTCCAAGTACAAGGAGCACACACATAAAGCTCCTGTGGTTTTCATTAGACTTAGTTTTGGTCAAGAAGGCAATCACATTGCCGTAAGCGCTTCAGTTAAAGGATGACACCACTGGCTAGTGTATATGGGCCACGGACCAGCCGTCAAAGAAGACCAACCGGAGGAGCAGGCTGCGTGTTGGCCCAACATAAAAGAGAAAGTAACAGCCTTTGCGGAGAAAGCGGCTGTCTATCTGCTTTCCTGGGGACATGCTGGATAATGAGGACTTATGAATGCGTGAACACATAAAAGATAAGATTCAAGCAGGTGGAGTGGCCACTAATTGTTAGTTATATTCGTGCTGTCTATGCCATAAAGGATGTGCTCATCCGGCCCGTCGATAAATCACTTAGAACCACTTGTGTGTGTGTGTGTGTGTGTGTGTGAGTATGCGTGTGTGCGTGTGTGTGCCGGGTCTTTGGAGTCCCGCTCTGCACTTGATAATCTCATTACCAGGTCTTGCATCGGAAACGCACGCTCTCCTTATTTGCATGCAAGCAAGTCTGTTGGTTTAGCACGTGTTGCTCATTTAAAGATATCTTGTCCGCATAAACTCTTGTCCGAAATGGGCTATACTTGTGCTGCATGAGCTTGTTCTACTTTCCGGTTCACTAGCTAAATGACTTTCAGTCTTTCGGTGGTCGTAAACTTTCAACTAAACTGGCCCTAAACAGTTTCAGCCTATCCAGCCACCCGCTCTGAACCGCTCACTCAATGCGGTTCAGAGTATAATTAGCTAATTGTGCGATGGTCATCACAGATCCCAGAATCGGAGCCCAGTTGCCTGCGAATCAGCGGCGCATTTGTGGCAAAAGCTGGTGGCAGTGGCATTTACCTTTCCGTTGCGATGCCATAAATCCGATGCCGATGCCGTTTGCTGATGCCCTTTGACTCCCGCTGTGCCGGACGATGAATGCCCATGCCCATGCCCCCGCAACCCGAAAATGTTGTGATGTCAGTGAGGGTCCGGAATTATCTCTCGGCCCAGTTTCAGTTGTGATTTAGAGGGGGCGATAGGTCGATCGGCTGCCAGGGTCGCGGATGGACAGGCTCCCTTGCTCCCCCCAAAGTTTGGAACTTTTCGAGTCCCCCGTTTATTGGATGCCAATAACTATGGGCTCGACATTGTCCGGGGAATACTCTGCTTGTGGGGGAAGGGGGGGTGCAATCGGGATGCCCTCAGATAATACATGCCGTGTTTGGCCAATTTACATACACCAACTCCGGTGGTGTGTGGCCTGTGCCTGTGACCTCCTGATTGGCATACCATAATGAAATTTTGTGTGTGTGTTGGGGGCCAGATTGTATTTATTGTCCTTTCTGGTCTCGTCCCGTCGATTTCCTTTGTCTAAATAAGCAAATTGCTTTCGTCGTGTGAAAGTGTGAGTGTGATGGGCCGGCTGCAGTTGTAGTTGTTCGAGTGGCCCAAACTTCAAAGCAATTTTGCGATTTCCACACGATAAGGTTGGTTGCCCCACCAATGTTCCCAAATAAATTGAAGTAACGATATAAGTTAAGGCTGTTATCCGGTTTTCAGGGGCGTTGTGGGCGCATACATTTTCACAAATTGGATCTATCAAACAGGCACCCGTTTTCATATTGCAAGAATTTTGCAATTTTCGCCAAGCTCAAAATGCAAACTATTTTGCTTGATTTAAACCTTTTTTTAAAGGGTATATTCATACAAAATCGATGGGTTTTATATTTACATATAAAGAGAAAATACTGTGCTTGTGATTAAAACTTGTACTTGTTTGCCTTAAACTGTAGCCTTGAGAAAATAAGAACGAAAACACTTGAACACTGGTATACTACAACAAACTACTTTAATTTTACCAAAATGTATCTCTTCAATTTATTTGTTTTAACTTATTTTATTTTTGTTTAATATCTTATTGATGGGAAGCCCAACACAACAGACAATAAAAATAACTTCAAGTACTGATGGCAACTGAATTTCAACTCATTTTCATTGCCCCTGTTGCAAACAGATAAATAAAAGGAACAACATTTTTCCGCAAACAAAGGATTCTTTTTTAACTGCGCCAACGACAACAACGAATTTGTCCCATTTGAATGGCACATGTCGATTTGGGTATTTTAATAGATAATCCTATTTTACATAAAATTTCGATTTATTTACGTTTTGGGTTTCAATTTACAATTTAAATAGCAAATAGTAGCACAATATTAAAGCGCACCTATCCGTCGGCCATGATTTATGTATTTCACTTGGATTGAGGGCTTCTTATTCATTCATCGGTATTAGGAAATCGTCATCAAATGGTTTAGTAACGTATACGTTCACTTTCGTAACGATTTATGAGGCTGAAATTATTTAACACAAGAAAACACTTATTCTTAAAACATATCCAAGTCAATCATAGATCAAACAAACCAAAAGAGTGTATGTACAAACTTATACCTGCATCATCATTTCAAATCTGAAATTTCACAGCAGTCGACACAACACTTATGCTTTTAACATTTATGGAATTCATTTATTTACAGTAATTGTATGCTAAATCTTATAAGCCTATTGATATATGCAACTTCCATAATCTATAATTAAGCTGGGACTGTGTTTCCATTTTGGTTTTCAGAGTCTTTAATACTATTTTATTGCACTGGGGCAGGTAATTACGAGTTACATTTAATGTGCTTAGTGACTTACTTAATTAACACAAAACATATGTACGACTAAGGTATTGGCACACACAATATAATAACATTGCATAAAATGTGTATTAATAGGTAAAACTTTGTTTGTAACATATATGTATATACAATGGCATTGAGTTCCATAAACTGCTAGTGGTGCCTAAATCGAACATCCCTTCCTGTCAGGAACAATATGGTATGTATCTAAAATTAAAGCATATGTACATTTACGCCGAGGTAACGCGCACATAAAATCGGGTCAACCTATTGTCCTCGGCATCGTTGCGATTACAAATTAGTCCAGTTTCTCGCCAATAAACCAATTACCTGGCAAATGCCAAATGGGACAGGGGAAAAGTACCAAGTGCCGAGTGTCGAGTGTAGAGATTCGAGTGCTTAGTGCATGATGCAAGGTGGTGCGGGTGGTGCTAGCACAAAGTGAGATCACGGGCCAATTGTGCCCGCTCAGAGCTGCTCGTCGGCCTGCAAGGATACGGACACCACCACCTCCTCCTCGGCCAGCAGCTCCACGATAAGCGTGCCTCACCTCTTCTCGCCCCCGGCCGGGCCACGTCCGCCGGAACCAGGTGCGCAGGATGCCCCGCCCGTCGCAGCACCATGCCCATTGCCATGCTGCAGCGCCATCGAGTCCTGCCGATGGAAACTGCCCACACGACCACTTCCAAATCCCACGCCCCCGCCGTGATTGCTGCTGTTCCGGTGCAGGGAGGCCCGCAGCTGGCCAGCAGCTGCTCCGCCTACGTAGGTGGAGCGACGCATCGACATCACGCTGGTATTGTCCATCATCCCCGTGGCCGTGGAGTGCTGCCGCAGGTGCGGCTGCCGCTTCACGCAGATGCAGCACAGGTAGCGGTTGAAGTGCTGCCGGAACACCCCGGACACGCAATAGAGGGCCACTGGATTCACGCACGAGTTGAGGAAGCTGCAAATTGAAAACGCACGGCCCAGTTAGTGCCAATCAATGATGCGCAATTCGGCTGTTATTGGTTACTAAATGTATTCACAACAGCTGTCTAACACTCTTTTGATATATTTATTAATTAATCTTAATTAGAAATTGGATGTTTAAGGCCTAGGGTATATTTTAAATATTGTGTTCTATTACTGTATCTCATGATAAACTAAAAATAGATTTTAAACTTGGAAAGCAAATGTAATTTTTAGTGAAAACGCACTTCTACCCATAACACAATAAAACTAGGTTTTAAGCTAACAAACATTTTTTCAGTTAATTACCTACTCCTACTACATATGATAGGCTAAAAGTTAGCTATTAACTGGCAGTTAAAAAACTTACTTCTAACAAGTCTAAAATTTATAACTAGAATGCAAAATAAAAGATATATTACTACTATACAATACTATTCTAATAAATAAAATGCACTCATAGCCCGCACTCATTCAGTTAATAAACACAAAAATATTTTTATACCCTTGCAGAGGGTATTATAATTTCAGTCAGAAGTTTGCAACGCAGTGAAGGAGACATCTCCGACCCTATAAAGTATATATATTCTTGATCAGCATCACTAGGCGAGTCGATCTAGCCATGTCCGTCTGTCCGTCTGTCCGTCTGTCCGTCCGTTTATATGCAAACTAGTCTCTCAGTTTTAAAGCTATCTGCATGAAACTTTCCCAAAAGTTGTCTTTCTATTGCAGGTAGTATATAAGTCGGAACGAGCCGGATCGGACGACTATAGCATATAGCTCCCATAGGAACAATCGGAAAAATAAATGAAAAAATATTATAACTTTGCTGTTTTTTAATTTTTTGTTTAGTTCTTCGACATTTAGTAATGGTTAAATATTTCCGATTTACGGTTTAAATTTCATCAAAATCGGACGACTATAGCATATAGCTCCCATAGGAACAATCGGAAAAATAAATGAAAAAAATTATAACTTTGCTGTTTTTTAATTTTTTGTTTAGTTCTTCGACATTTAGTAATGGTTACATATTTCCGATTTACGGTTTAAATTTCATCAAAGTCGGACGACTATATCATATAGCTCCCATAGGAACAATCGGAAAAATAAATGAAAAAAAATTATAACTTTTCTGTTTTTTAATTTTTTGTTTAGTTCTTCGACATATAGCAATGGTTAAATATTTCAGAATTATGGTTTAAATTTTATCAAAATCGGACGTCTATATCATATAGCTCCCTTAGAAATAATAAAAATATATAAAATAACTATCAAATAATTGGGCTGCAAATCATCATAGCTTCAATGTTTTTAAACATATACGAAAGTAAATCATAATTTTAATGTTTTCAAAAATGTTTAATTCTTGCAATAGCTGCAAGGGTATATGAACTTCGGCTTGCCGAAGTTTGCTTTCTTTCTTGTTTACTATCATGTTAAAAATGGTGTTATTATTATTATCCCTTTTTAGCTCTTATAAGAAGTATTGTTAATGTACTTAACAATGTATTTGGTAGTATTAACAAGGTATTTGGTAATATCAAATGGCCATCAAAACTTCCGAATTTCATTGACCCTCTCCGCTTGACTATAAAGTGGTAATACCATTCCTCAGATGACTGTTCTATTTTGTGCCCCTATATTGGCTCTTATTTCCACCCACTTGGGCAGAATGCAAATTGCTTTTAGTACAAAGTTCCGTCGCTCTTCAGCGAACACAGCCACCGAATTGCTGACACATTATTTTCCCAGTTTTACCGCGCTAAGTGACGCCCAAATTGGTTCCCAGTGGAGCCGTGGGGTGGGGATGTCAACAGAAATAAATGTACTGCCAGACGACGTGGTGGAAGAGGGGGGGGGAAGGGTGGGGAAAGGGGGTGTGTGCTTGCATAATCTGTTTCAATTAAAAATTATGCCAAAAGCCGATGCCAAGGGCAATGCAGCGAAAATGAGTGTGGTTTAACTTTAGGGAAACTAACGGCCAAGAACAACCATATGCATTCGCTCCAGAATAGCAACGCTCTTTTTCGCTCCACGGGCGTGACTGAGTGTCGTGCTGGCCATAAATTCTGAAACCCTCAAGGAATGCTCTCGGATGGCGACTGCAACTGCTGGCGTTCAAGAAAAATGTCCCTCTGAAGAGGGTAACTGGTGATGAAGAGCCACCGAAAACTGCTGAAACTGCTGCTGCGACTAAACTTCGACCTGCTCATCCCCATATCACCACATCACCACTCACCTTGTGCAGAATCCCACGATGCGGAGCACGTTCCAGAAGTCATCGAAATCCTCTTCCGCCGTGGGATAGAAGTGGTACCACAGCTCGAACACGTGGTACGGGAAAAAGCAGATGAAGAACACTGCAAGGATAGTCGTCAGCCAATTAGTTTGTCCATTGGTGCTCTAGGATTAGGAATTCCCGCTGCGGGATGCAGGAATACCGCATCCAGGAATGCAGAGTACGGAATGCGGAATGCGAGATGCAATGACTTACCCACCACAAAGGCCACCACCATGCGGGCCACATGACGACGAGCTCTGGCCTGGGTGCGACTCTGCATGCTCTGCTGCTCGCCGGGCATGTTGCGGGCACTCATGTGGAGCCGCTTGGCCATCATGATGTACAGGGCGCCGATAATGGACAGCGGGAGCAGGTAGTAGATGAACGCCTTGGCCGCCACCATGCACCTGGAGAAGAGATCCAAAAGAGGATTGCCATTAAGCCATTGAATGCCATAAACTAAATTCGTCATGGCCATAAAGCTAGCCAAAATCCAACTAAAGTAAGCATTTTCCATTTTCCATTCTCCATTCTCCATTCTCCATTTTAAGCAGAATTTACATGGGTGACTATAAAACTGGCCGACTGTACGAACGACATTAAATTGTGCCTACGCACGAGAGGATGACCATAAAAGCTGAAGAGGCAGGACTCTCGACCTACCAACTCTCTATTCTGCAGCTCTTAATGTGACCGAAACACATGCCACCAAGTGGCATAAAAATAAAGCATGTCGGCATGCCTTAAATGAAAAATTAGCGACCAGTTGAAGGGCGACCACGGCTGTTACTGTGGCTGTGGATCTCCTCCCTTCCGGCTTCCGGATCTGTGTGAATTACATCACAGCCAGATTATGTGGCAGCAGCTGACGCCAGCCGCACGAAAGGATTTCCAACTTGCGCAACAGCAGCTACATTGATGGGAAAAGGAATTAAGTTCAACTTGCCGTTGGCTTGCCAAGCTTAAGCACGTCAATGAGGAGTCGGAGTCGGAGGTGGAGGTAGAGGTGGCGGCAGGCAGGACAACAGGTGAAAGCTGTGAAAGCAGCTGCATCAGATGGCGGGAAAAACAGTACGTGGATGTGGGTGCATTAATGATTAATACCATTTAAGGGGAAATGAGCACCGCTTGAAGAGTCTGTGGCTTTTACCAGCAGCGATATAAGGGGCACAACTTGGCAGTTGTCGCAAATTCAGAGTTCCGTTTGCCTCGATTCAACCTCATTGATCGCCATGGACTCACAACCTTATAAACAGGAAACCAGGGACCTTTAATAAGAGTTAAGGCTAAGGATAGTATATATTTTTAAACTTAAAAAATCAGTTTCAGTGTTGCTTTTGTCGAAAGTATATATTAAAATCAGTGAAATTGGAAAAAACAAATAAAGATTGCCTATAAAATGAATTAAAATCAGTTAAATTGGTATTCAAAATAAACTAATATCCTAGTAGCCCTTTTAAAAGTCGAAATATCAAAAAAAGCTTAATTACAGTCTCTGCAGGAAACAATGCCTAAGGATATTATATTTTAAAACTTCAAAAATAACAAATAGTGCTGCTTTTGTCTAAAAAGTATATAAAAATCAGTGAAATTGGAAAACAAATCTTAGCCTTGCCTACAAAATTCATGAAAATCATACAAATTGCTAAGCAATATTAACAACTTTTATTTACGGATATCCAGAAAACAATACTCTGACAAAATTTCTAAAATATATTTAAATATCTGAAATACTCAATTGAAATTTAAACCATATTTAACCAAAAATTAAAAAATAACATCATGAAATATACAATTTTAAATTCAATAGCCAGATATTAATTTCAACTGCTCTATTTGATTAATTTAAATGAAAGCCATATTTAACTCAAATAAAAAGCATATAACACAAATAGGTCGTTTTTTAAACACAAATATGCCACATGATATTTAGTATACATTGATATTATGAATTCATGATTATTTTAAAATGATTTCAATAGCCAGATATTAATATTAACTGTACCATTTTTTGTATGACCTTACTTAGATCCCTTATATCCCAGTGGAAAAAACTTACTTCGCATACTCCGGGTCGCGGAATGGGGAGCACACCTCGATGGTCATGTTGCCATTGGCCGTGTACACGGGATAGGACTTGATGTCGGAGACCAGGAACGATGGCATGCCCAGCAAGATGGCCAATATCCAGATAATCACCGCCGTGAAGACGGTGAGGGGCTTGGTCTGAGCGGCAAGGGTGTATTGATAGTTAGTGTTATCCCATTGGTCGTCATCGTCATCGCCATTGTCATTGTCATCCACTCACCTGAAGCTTGCGTAGGGGATTCACAATGGCGCAGTATCGCTCGCCGGACAAAGCGGTCAGTGTGAAGACGGACACCCCGATGGAGATGTCCTTGAAGAACTCACTGATGCGGCACATGTTCCGCTCGAAGGGCCAGCTCTCCTGCGTGTAGACAATCGTGGCCACGGGCACGCACACCAGAATCACCAGCAGATCGGCCAAAGCCAGCGACAGAATATAGCTGAAAGTATGTATGTATGAGGAATCGGGAACGGGGTCACTTTACCCTTCTGCTTTGATGTCCGCTCACTCGGAACGAGATCTTTGGCTGGTTTGCCCTGGAATGCCTTTGTTAGTGTCAATGGCAAGTTGAGAACCCTTCGAGCAGCTCCTGATGCCCAAGTTTTCAACCCATTTCTGACTACAAGTTAGGGGAGCGACTGAGACTGAGAGCAAATCGGCTTGGCATTGACACTAACGACCGCCCGTGAACCAGCCATGGAGCCATAGAGCTTCGCTTTCTGGATGGGGGAATCATTAGAGCTGCTGGATTTGGCTGATTGCATGTGACATGAATTCCAACCTTTTACCTTCCCAGCCAACGTGTCTAGACAAACGGTCGCGACTTAGTCGGCCACCAAGCTGCCATTTTTGCCTTCAATGGCAGGACGATTACTTTACAACTACTGACCTACTACTGACCCACTGCAATCAGCCAGTTCAATTGAAAGTGACAATTTGCGGACAATCAGTGCCAAATTATGACCACCTGCGGCTGCTAGTTTTAGCCAAAAGCGGTGAGGTCTAGCTTTAATAGCAACCGAATGATATGTCCTTAATTCCTGCCGTCATGCCAGCATCTTGGCCCAAAAACTTTTGATTGAATCAACATTTGAGCACATACATTTGAAATTCGCCAGCTAGAGGACTGCAAAACTTGGAAAAGTTAATAAACATTTGCATAGCAGACGTCCTGCCTCCAGAGTTTTGCCGCCAGCTGTTGGTTTGACTTTGCCTCGTAGTTTGCTAGCCAAAAAACAACATGGGATTCTCTAAGTTGGATGTGAAGTGGGATTTGTGGGACACACATTGCGTATACGGCGGCATACTTTTAGGGTGTTTAAATGTAAAAGGAATAAATAATGAAAACTTGCTAGTCGAGATGAAGGAGCATTAATTCAAATTTGAAGAACTATGTTCGCAGGCGTTGCTAATCTAAATTCGGGAATGGCAGACAGCAGATGGTTTGACACTATGTTTGTTGTCCGCTTTTGAAAAGTTAAGAAGCCTTTTTTTAAATTTACTTATCGGTCTAGGGAAGGATGTCATTTGTGGCGAAGCAATAAAATCAAATGCAGCTCATAAGACAGCCCATGAATGTCAAGTAGCAATTGAAACCATTTTTTCGCGGAGTGACGAGCTCATTTCGCCTTCAAATGTGCGGCCATATAAAGGCATTATTATTTATGGGCCCCGGGGAAGAAGGCCTTATCAAAGCGGAAGCCCGTCAATAAATATTATTCCCCGGCCCGCCCTCTGGGGAGCTCGACGGGGAGCCCCCGATATCCACTTACGTGTTGGGTATGTTGCGCATGGAGCGATGGCGAAAGAAGATTATGACAAGCGTGCCGTTGCCCAGCACTCCCACGATGAAGATGAGCGTGTACAGCACGGTGACAATGTACGTCTCCGGGCGGTCCAGCACGGGCACATACGGCACCATGCCGCCGTCGGCACTGGAGTTGTGCTGTCCCATGCCCACTTCGACTCCACCCTCATACTGTCCCGTTGCCAGGAGTCCGCTGTCGTTGCCCTCCGTCGCCAGGCTGCCCGCCAAAGTCTGGCCCACGTCCATCAGGGCGGCGAACATGTTTTTCGGGGGAGCGGGATGCTGATGTCTCACTGCTGTCGCTATGCGAGGCGTGGCGTTTTATGGCCTCGCTTTTGGCCACTTCCGTTTCCGTGGGTCAGTGGGTCCGTGCCTCAGTGCCTCCGTCCACCAAATGCCAAACGCCAAACGCCAAATACCAAACGCCGAAAGCCAAAAGCCAGCGCTTCTCTGTGCTTATGTTGAGGGTGTGGCCACAGGTCCGTGTTTTATTTTGCACATTGTGTTTGGTCGTGACCGCTGCCTGTCTGCTTTTGCAGCATGATTTTCGACGGAAGCTGTTCGCTGGGGGAAAAGAAAGCGGAGAAAGTCAGTTTTGACTAATTTGAACAATGTTAAGCGGTGTGCATTTGCCTGAACATAAAGTAATGGCTGCGGCTTATCCAGACAGGCGTGTGCATTACCTACGAGGCGCATAAATATCACGCATACGCAACGTGTGCAACGGAGTGCGCAGTTAGGATTTATGAGCCAGCAGCAGCGTGTGTGTGTGCGTGCGTAACTGTATCTCTGCATAATAAAGAATCTCCTTAACATGCAATCGCTGACCATGTTTGCATTTAACACGACTTTACAGCGCCCATAATCATAAATTTCGAAATACATAGTACTTCCCCTAAGCGGCTAACAGGGTTTTTGTTCCGTGGCAATCGCAGTCTTTCGAACATCCAATTATTTCTGGCCTTCCTTCGTAGACACCCACCCACCCAACCGTGATTATCTCTCACGCTCAGTTGTTCTTTCCGGACCCGCAATTTCGCCAACCCACGCCAAACTAATACAAAATCATTCGTGTAGAAGCAAATACTTTCAAGTCGCAATCAAATGCGTTTATCCCACAATAAGAAAGCGAGACGAGGCTGATGATGATGATGCTGATTCTGATGCCCGACTTAGACTTTCACTGAGTCTGACTCCAAGGAGGCGACAGAGCCGGGTTTATCCTGGCTCCTGTCAGCTTGCGAGGGACTCTGCTCCACTCGCTGTTGTTTCAATTTCAATTTGATACTAGATTGCCCCAGCTATCGGTGCCATTTGGCTGCCTGCTATTGATTCCGTTTCCGTTTTCGTTTTCGTTATTTATTTATTTTGATTGTGGCCTACGAGTGCGTGTCTCCCCATTTGTTAAATGAAATTCCCTCAAGTTCCAGATCGTGAGACTATTTACTGAAAAATCTAATCAAGCGGACAGTATGAAAGTGCACTACCAGGATAAGTAATAAATAGTTTTCAAGGAAAAGTACTTGCAAATACTTGAGAAAATTTAATTAAAGGAGAGGCCTAGTCGTTCCATCCAGAGCTAAAATATTGCAACCATTTTGTAACCCGCTAAGAGCAATGTATAAGATGGCATGTTTGGCCCGATAAGCGGGTTTGACCCCGACCTCTCATTAAGCACAACACTCGTTGACCCCAAGCCAAAATGGCCAAGTGTCGGCAAATGGAACTCTCGGCCAGGCTTAATAGTCTTCACAAATGTGTTGATGAAAGGCATGGAAATAAATAAAATTTCACACACAGTCAAGCACATGTAATCGTTTGGGGTCTTGACTTTTTATGATTTTATCCTTCCTCTGTTGATGAGTTTAACTTGAACAACGGCCTGTAAACGAAAGGGATTGTTATACATTTATAGGAGAAAATGCTTTTTGGGTTTACGTTTAAGATTCCTCCCCTTTTGCCGTACTTAATCATCTTATCCCATATAAATTCACTCCGCCAGTCAATTATTTATGCCACTAAAAAAAACGTCCAGCAAAAAATCAAATAGCTGCTGGCAACGACAAAGAACACATCAGTCTTGTTTCCCAAAAAATAAGGAAACTTTTTTTGGCTGAGCGAAACTTTTGAATAAGTTTTTTTCTAAGCGAGAGTGGAAAAGTTAAAGTTTCCGCTTGGTCCGAGCCCGTGGACATGCCTGTTCAATTTACTTTAAGAGTCTGTCCCAGGGGATTGTTGGCAGGCAATAGTCATCATCTTCACAGCCATCAACAAGAGAAATGATTAAACTTTTGACTGACCAGACACGCCCCGAAGTCACGACGACCGAATGTCATCGATTGACCTCAATCATTTAAATTGAATTTATTTATATGCTTTTCCTTTATTAAATTCAGCTCTTTAAGAGTGTAACAATTTGGTGGTGAGACTGTAAATCGCATCTGCGGCAGCCATTAGAAAATGTTTTGGGCGGCTTTCTAGGTAAAAACATTTATTTATGATTAAGGATTGTTGTTCGAGCCGCATTCGGTGTGCGGCAGATAAAAGCCGGCAGTCAGGCAATTTCAAATGTCGGAAGACGAGCGGAGGTGGCGTTTGCCACCCGCTGACATTGTCTAACAGAGGATATCTCGGGCATCCCGCTGTGAGCCACCGCATAGTTGAGGACGAAGGCAGATATTACATTGCATAGCCTGGGATGTATTACTTTCTCCGCAGCACAGTGGCTCCTTGCCAAAAAAAAATGTCCCAACAATCCCATTTTACATTGAAAAAGTTTTATTTTCGATAAGCTTTATCATTCGCAGCTCTATAAGGAGTTTTCAACTCTAATTTGGAATTTTATAAGCATTTTTTTTAAAGAACAGAGGACTTTAGATTCTTTAGATTTCACTGACTTAGACAATTATTTAAATATAGTTTAAAATAGTCAGCCAGGTATTAAAAAAGCTTTGGAACTAAGGTGTTCCTATGCACCTTTTATTTGTCTCTCTTTCTTTGGGGTTAATTTTTCCGGAAGTATTGAAGTTGAATATGTTTATCTTCAAACCTAGTTGAAAACCGATTTTTGTTCTCCCAAGATTCTGATTCGTGTTAGATGTTACCCGAATCAAGAAGCAAATATAATTTAGTACACTTGCGTGCTGCTATTGAAGGAACTTGGCGTATTTTGTTCGAGAGAAAGATGTCGGTTAATCATTCGCCCTGTTGGCTGAGTAGCCAAAAACATATATTATTCATTCCAAACCTCGTTGAAAATAACCGAATTTTGCCCCCGAAATTCAGACAAACAAGACACTGTGCATCGTTTCGCTATAATACGTGTTAGATAAATCATATAGCAAAAATAATTTAATACACTTGCGTGCTCCGGTTGTAGCTGTGGCAACCCGGCGTATGTGCAATGTGGCATGTCGTATTTTGTGAGCAGCCATGCCGAATAATAAGCCTAGCAGGCGGAGGTTGACTTAAAGCCGTACTTGGCACTCTTTAAGGTGGAAATCAGCATCAGAATCAGAGTTCATCACTGCAGAGCCCCGTCGCCCGGCGGCAACTCATTATGGACCCTGCTGCTCTAATTGGAGTCAAAAAATTTGGGTATGCCCTGAGCTTGCCTTGGTCATACTTAATGTGAGTTGAAAGGTCCGCGAGACTTATGCAAATTTACCACCCTTCCCATTCAAGGCGACAAACATTGACTAAATTATGCGCCATCGCCGCTCTTGGACGGTAATTCACGGCGACAGAGGCAAGTCATGGATGGATATCCCTGCCTTGCCCCGAAGGTCCAGCCATTAGTCGTCATCGGAGATGATTGAGTACACAGGGCAGGTCGTGCTCCTGCACTTCCGGCAGCAGAATGCCAGCTGGGACTGAAAAGTTGCCCCTGAGTTAGATGACAATCTGGGATTCGCCTACACACACACACACACACACACACTTAATGTTCCGATTGATAAACTTTGTCAACAATCCCGGCAGATTTCATAAATCGCACTTAAATTATCAGTATGTCCAAGAGGGTGAGTATAGTGTTGCCGGAGGAGATGCCTTCGGCTCCGTTGGGAAAAAAGAAGCCGCCAAAGCAGAGCCCAACCATGAAGAGTGCCATCAAGAGCAGTTCCAGCGTTCGAACGGACATTGTGCCGCCGGTGTTTGTGGTCGTTAGTCCGCAGACTAGTCAAAGCTCGATGAGCACAGGTCAGCAGATAAGCATCAGCTCGCTAACAAATCCGGTTAAGGATGTATCCGGATCCGGGGAAGGCTCATCCAGCATTGAAGCTGCTCCAACTCCGGAATCCAGCGCCTTGGTCAAAACTGGCTCTACGACGAACTCCCAGGAAACGGCTAACTACGAATCGGCCAGCACCTCGATAAGGCAGTTCCTCCGCAGCACAGTTGCTCTCGTTCGGGCAGGTGAATCCTTCACATCGGTTAAGCGTCTTTTCCACAAGTTTATCAAGAACAGCAGTGGCTCGATTTCCAATCTTTCGACCTCTCACGACTCCTCAAACTCCTTGCAAGGCATTAAGAAGGAGAATCCCTATCTTAGCAGGTCCAACGACACGCTCCTGTCCGATTTACCGCCCCAGCTCACAATCCCCAGCACTTCGCAGATGACCACGAGCATTCGGCACTCGAACTACTCCTTCAATAACGCCATTTACGACCGCACAAGCCTTCTCACTGACTCCGTCACTCCGCTGACGGGCTATACGGCCAAATCTGAGGAGGCTGGCTACCGAACCGATGCCTCCATACAGACCGCCTCCAAAAGTCTGGGGCAAGAGCTACCGTCGGGAAGTGGACAGGCCGGAAGTAGGTCACCTGATCAGGTCCGCTCCAGGTCAAGCAGTCGATCGATCCGCAAGAAACGGCGGACATCCGTTCCTAGTTCCTCCAGAAAGTCGCCCAGGATGTCACCCCGCAGAGACCATGTTTTGCCCGCTGTGGAGCCCGTGTTTGCCTTGGTCAGTTCCTCTGCACCCAACTCTGAGCAGGAACGTTCGAGCAGGTCCCAACGGAGGAGCAGCCAAGACTCAGGCAGAGCATCATCCAAAGTTACGGCCAGAGTATCGGTCAGTTCCGTCTCAAAACCGGGACTAGACAAGTCTGGTGGTGGCCAGTCACCCAGATCTGTTAAGTCAAAGACCAGCTCTCGTCAAAGTTCCCGCTCTGGATCCCGAGCCAGTGCCTCAAAGATCCCGGAGCAAACCGAGCAGAAGAGCGAGGTGGACCATGCCTTTGCCCTGGTCAGCACCCAGGCGGAGGAGGAGGGTGGCGAACAGCCCGGAGAGAGCAGTGCCGGGGGGATCGAGGATGGCTCCACCAGCTGCCGGACGTACCAGGAGCATTGCAAGTGCCACCACTGCCAGGACATGCGGCGGGCGGTGAAGAGGGCCGACTTCTTCCAGTCGCCGGAGGGTCAGAAGCGGCTGGAGACCAAACTGCTGGCCAAGAACTTCTTCATGGATCTGTGTGCCCTCGCCGAGGTGCGCAGCCAGGTGCGGGCCAACCTGCTGGGCATTCGGCGGCATCCTTCGTCGCGACTCAGTTACCCGGTGAGCATCTGTGGAGCCAGCCGCCTGGATGGCGGTGCGCTCTCGCTGAAATGGTTCACCCACGACCTAGACCAAGTGGACCACTTTGACTTCTTCGTGGACAACAAGCTGAACCGGAGTATCTACAACCTGAAGGCCAACGGCACCGTGCTCCTCGACGTGAACGCCGCCGAGACGCACACCCTGCGCATGCGGGCAGTGCCGCGGCGGGGCAGCAGTGGCCAGGATGCCCTGGTGGAGCAGTTCATGGCCGAGGTGGCTGCCGGGCACATGCGGCATGTGCGGCAGGGCCAGCTGTTCGCCAGGTGCCTCAAGCACTTGGACGCCCAGCCGCAGCAGCGTACGCTGGTGGACTTCTGGACGGACAGCGAGTTCCTCTACCTGCCCACGCCATCCCGCTGACTGGCCAAAATAAACTGATTTATGGGCAGTAGTCTGAATCACGGTGTGTCTGGGGGGCGGGAGCAGCTGCGTGGGCAGTAATTGATTACGTTAATTTCACCATGGTGCTGACTAATCGGTGGACATGGCTGTACCCAGTGCTGGACACCTCCATTTTAAGGTGAGGACATGGTGGCCATCAGTCAACGAGGGGTGTGTAGACAACTTCAGCTGTCGCCTTTATTTTAAAAATTCATCGTAATCTGGGCAGTCGAGCAGCCTGCGATGATGAAGTTGTGTGTCCTTATCAGTGGCCCGCAGGCGAATCGGTGGCCTGGAATCGGAAGCGGAAGCGGAATCGGAATCAGTATCCACTGGGAGCTGGAAGCTGGAAGCTGCGAGTGTAGGTGTAGTCACTCCGGCAGACGTAGGCATTCCGCGCCGATCTGTCAGCGATTTTGGGCCGCAAAGTGGCATGATTAATTATTTGGCAAATATTTGAAATGCCGTGCTTGCTGGCGCTGCCATGGAAATTAGTGAAAATCATAAAAAAAAATAGGAGAGGAAGCATACTTTAGCAAGACGAAGTTTATATACCCTTGCAGCTTTTACTTTTCGATTTTTTTGCGTATACATATGTTTAAAAACATTGAAGCTATACCGATGATCAATATCTCACTATTGAATTTAAAATAGTGTATTAAATATTTAAATAAAATATGAAAACATCATATTAAATACAATGCATAATATATTATTTTTTATTTTAATTAAATAGGGTTTTTAATTCAAAGAAAATTGTTCATGTATAATATTTCAATCCAATCCGCAAATAGACAAACTAAAAAATAAACAATTTTTGTATATTTTCCAATTAAAAATAACTAAAAATCGCAATGGATGAAATTCAATGGGAAATATTTTAATTGAATGCAAAATATTTGGATTTACTACGATTTTAATAATAGTTTTATTAATAAAACATTACTACATTTAATAACAACAAAGTTATAATTTCTTAAAATATATTTTTTGCGATTGTTAGTATGAGAGCTAAACAGTCGTAGCTGCAAAAAAAAAAGAAAACTTTTGGAAAAGTTTTAGCCAGATCGTTTTTAAACAGAAGAACGGACGGACATGGCTAGATCTACTCTCCTAGTGATGCTAATCAAGATTATGTATATATACGTATGCCTTGCCAAATGAAATTCTAACACCTTCTGTAAGAGCATAAATATATGCGTACTCGCAGTTTTATGAGTGTCAAGGGGGTGGACGAAGGGAAACCCAAACCGTTGAGTATTTTAATTAATTTTCACTTTCGTTCGACTAGTGGGCATTCCATCGACCATGTGATGGACAGCTGGGCCAAGTGCCTCCGCCTCCTCCGCCTCCTCCGCCGCCTTCTCGACAATCGACAGTCGACAATCGCCTATTCACGACCCACTGGCCCGGTTCTGATTGAGGCTTTTGGTTTTTGGCTTTTTCCTTTTACTTTTGCTTTGTTTTGGTTTTCATTGGCGCGTGATTGCTCTCGAAATAAACAAGAGGCTTTGGTCGAAGTACTTTATTTCCGAATATTTTCATTATTTGGATAATTTTCAATTATCGCCGATATTTCCCGCAGTTTCAGCAGTACATTTATGTTGCCACGCTGATACCACGCGGATACACAATTTTTTACGAGTATAGTCGCATCTCGCGGCGTACTTTCAATTACTTTTTATTATGATGGGCCACGTTTCCCGCTTCCCGTTTCCCCCTCAACGCTGTTTTATGTGCTGCAAGCAGTTGGCCAAATATTTTAATTGATTTCATGTGGCCGACGCCAGCCATTTGGCCAGGACTCTGACCCATCCAAGCATTGTGTTTTGTAAACATTTGCTTTCTCGCCCCGACATTCATGTCCATCCCAATGAGTTGTTTACGATAGACTGTTTATCCAAAATGGATTTGCTTAATGTCAGATCGTCTAATGGTCATGGTGCTGCAGCTGATCATATTTTATATTGTTCATAGTTGCTTTCATCACCCATAAATATTTCTTGGTAGAATTTTAATCACTGTCGATAGCGGTGGTTACCCTTCACCGCTCATAATTTAAATCACCTTTTCGAAGCGTTCGCTCTAGGCTGAAACCGTGCGGTTCAGACACTAACTCGAAAATTCATTACAAATTGTTTAACTATGACAAGTTGCCCCCTTGAGAGCCATGTATCAAAGGATGTTTTGGCACTTGCTGTCGGTCGTTCTTCTGGCTTTCCGCAGCCTGAAAATGCCACACGCAAACATATTTGGTGCGTGGCAATGCCTGAGCCATTGAATTTTCGCGATAAAGTCCTATATAGCAAAACAGGAAAATAAACACAAGAAGGGGGGAAGTCAAAGGGAAAGGTATGACAGGATGGGTTGGGGGTCTTCTAAGAAAATACTGGAGGTGAACGTAAACAAGGGCAGAAGATGTCTGAAAACATTCTAAGACAGCAGCTGAGGAATGAATTTTCTTACATGAGCTGAACTTTGAAGTGTTACAATGTAAATGTTTTATTCAATGGTTATATTTCTGGTTTCCTCTAAACAATTATTTTAAAAATACATTTAAGAATGGGAGTCTTAAAACTTTTTTGGTTAAACAAAACAATTTTAAAAAATTGGACCCAATTCCAAAAAAAAATAATAAAACAAGAGAACTCTTAGGGATATTACCTAAATATACATTTTTTTAAATCTAGCGAAAAAAGGACAAAAGAAAAAAACTGAAAAGTTCTTCCGCGAGTACAAAAAAGTCTTTTTATTTACGATTTCCGGATAAAAATGTTCTGCAGTAACTGAATGAATTGCCTGGCAAAGCATTACATATGGCTATCCCCGCACTTTTCAACAAATTGTTGCTCCACAAGAAGAAAATTCGATTTGGGGCTCAGTCTGTTGTGGTTTGCGACCTAACTGGAGACACTTTTGGCCAGGCCAAAATAAATTAGATCCCAAGAAAACAAGCAGGCGAGTGAGCTTGGGGAAATGAAAACACTTTTCTCAATGTCTAATGGAAAATTAAGTTAGCCCACACAATGGGGAGCCTTGGTCACCTTCCATTGAATTTAAATCGAAATCTTTATGCAAATTAATCATTTGTTCTTTTACTTGATTCATGCTTTTCATTTGCATTCCCCTCTGCAATCGGCCATCGCATTGTTTGCTAGCCAAAGGAAAAGGGGTGGAGTGTGTGGAACACGAAATGGAAAAAAAGATACAAGATACAAACGTCTTTCTTTAACAGCTCCTTGGGATTATTTATGGGCTCCTGTGGTCCGTGTCCAGTCAGCCCCAAGAGATTGCGAGGGGAGTGGGTGTTTTATGATAAACGACTCCGGTTAATCCTCGAATACAAAAGGACAAAAGAGAAGGGTAACTGGCTTCATATTCCAGCTCGAATGGTGAAGCAGAAAAGTGCGGCTTTGATTTCCGACCAAGTTCACCTGAACTGAGCAAATAAAAGATTGGTCGCCCTTTTCTACTTTGATTAATTTGCAACTTGCAGTCAATCAAAAATTCATCATCATCATCGTCATCGTTCTTCAACTAGTTGAGCCCGATGTGACAACATTAGCAGAAACATTCCCTAAGTCCTAAAGTGCCTTCAATAAATCATTTGGCAAACGCCCAGATTCAGTCAAATGTATGGCATTAGCAGTAGACAATTCATTGAATTGACTGCCGACCAGCCAAGCTGTCATTTATCAAGCAGCATAACGCGGTTAAAATCAGGCAAGCGGAGAAATCGGGGGAAATGAGTAATATTCTCTTGCGAAACAGGTGAATCCTGTCGCCGGCACAAAGGACGACTCCTTTCACCTGACAGGCTGAGTTGCCATCTCCGTCGAGCATGTGTTGGGTGTCAGGAATTGACGGCTCGTCAGTTCGAATCGTGCCCATCACTTCCTGGGCTCATCTCCTTCGCTTATTTAATATCCTATTTATGCCATGCGTCGTTCACCATCTGCACGGCTGACTGGAGCGGTAATTGAATTCCATTCAGTGTCGACAGGCTGCAGTAGTATGACATCCGAAGACGGGCTGGCAAAAGTTGCCACAAATCTGCACCAAGGATACCTGCCTAGTGAAAGGAAACCAGGAGTACAATAGTCAGGAATCTAACTAATTAAGAGTCCGATATTCTTGCGTTAAATGAGAATCAAGCTAATGACCGCTTTATGGCATTCATTTATGCAATGGCTGAAGGGCTGTTGCATATTCATCAGTTAATAAACGACTCGCAGCGCCAAGAACTCCACCGTAATTATGCCGGGCGTTCAATCTGATCTTCACCGCAATCCGAGCAGGAGCACGAGCTGGACCCCGAGCCTGCCTTATGGCTATAAATAATCACCACCGACATTAATCAGTTTTATATATCAAATTAATTCCACAGCACTTTGTGCAGCAGAGAAAAAAATATGGGGCCAACGGAAATGGCTTTAAAGTCGTTGGCAAATTATAAGAATAATCTGAAAAACGCAGCTTAAAAGGAAATTTGACCTTATGTTTAAAGAGCTAAAAAAGAAGATGGCAATTTTGTACATTTAAATACCAACGAAATGGAGACATTAAACAACATTTAAGAAAACTTGTCATTTCGTTTTAAGAACCAGAACAAAAACTTAATAAGTCAGCCCGCGTCTGATGTTTTCATCAATAAATTATATTTTTTTAAGTTTATAATTAAAATCTATTTATATAGCAAATTAATTGCTAAAGGTGAGCAAGAAAAATAGGCTTAACGAAAATTACTTTAAAGTCGTTGGCAAATTATAAGAATAATGTATAAAAACGCATCCGGGGAACACCTTTAAAGGAAATTTGACTTTACGTATAAAAAGCAGAATAAGAGGATTGGAATTTTGTACATTTAAATACCAACGAAATGGAGATATTTAACAAAGCATCATTAAATAATAACCAGAACAAAAACTCAATAAGCTGCCAGCGTCTGTTGTACTCATAAATAAATTATTTATTTTTAAGTATATAAATAAAATATATTTATATAGCAAATTGGTAAAGCTGAGCAAGAAATATAGGCTTAACGAATTGACTTTAAAGTCGTTGGCAAATTAGGAGAACAATCTGAAGTGCCCAGTTTGAAAAAAAAAGAAATCCGTGGCAACGGCATAAAGGAAACTTGTAATTTAGTTTTCAGAGCTCTGGTCGGAAACGGAACAGCAGGACAAGAACTCAATAAGAAGATTGGAATGCTGCCAGCGTTTAATGTTCTCATCAATAAATTACGAACGAAATAATAAAGGCAGGGGGACGTAACCTTAAGCCAGCAAGCCAGCCATTTGGATCCCAAATAAAAGCCTATAAATGGCAATGTATACACATAAATTTCAATTTGGTGGGGTCGCATTGACATTCCCGTAAATAATATATAATTTATTATTACTTACTCGACGTGAGATTAAAAACTGTGGAAATCGAAGAAAACAACTGCCAACACCTAAAATAAAGCATTTTACAAATTTATGGCACTGTACATTGAACCTCCACCCACACACAAAATTCCGGCAAATTGTAGGCAATTAAATGGTAAGAAATAAAAAAAGGAAAAGTTCAAAGACAAACTTCCCTTGATAACTGCCAACTGCCGCGGGTGAAAAAGTTTCTATGGAAATTTGTTGCGACATATTGCTGGTGAAAATTCCTGTGCCGACAATTAATGCTGTGGTATGGAAATCAAAGAAACTTTATCCATTACGACGAAAGATTGCACATTTGTGTCATAATAAATCCCTACGTTAATCGTCCATCCAGCTCTGAATGCACTGGATGCACTGGATCCACTTTCCTGAGCATCATGTAATCCATTACCATCAACGTAAACCCACTCAATCATCACGGATATGGAAAAACCATAATGTTTGCTTATGTCATCACAGAGGATGCGTGTGGTGCATTTACATCGAGGTCGTAGTTGGTAGCTGACAACTGCCAGGGCAGCTTTAAAGCCCGAATAATAATCCTCTTTTGCAACAGCATTTTGTCAAATATGAGCAAATATGTCCCACACAGATACTAAACCCGAAAACGTTCCAATCAAATGATAGTCAAGTGCAGGCGGTAAACAAATATGGCCCAAAGGGCACATTACCAACACGCGCTGTGTGCGTCGTGCGCTGTTTCAATTTTATTAACCGCAAAACTTTTCTAGCACCGAAAGGTGAGGTTTTTTGGGGGGGGAGCAATTCGAGATGAAAAGGGTTAGCAAACCATATTTGCGTGGCGACAACCGTGCAATATCATTTTGGGGGATATCAGGCCAGCAAAGTGTGTAATCTTCTGGCCATTTAGAGGATATCAGATGGTCGGGACATAGATGAGTCTATAGCATATGCGAAACTTTTTGCCATTAAATAAAGCGCGATGCTGCAACGCTGCGTATGCGTGATATTTTCGATTGTGGCGCCACCAACGAACAATTACACACACAAAGCACACACAAAGTGTACGCACTAATTACGCAAATTTATGAGTTTAGGGTCTGTTTATCAGGCTGTGCCACTGATTGTACTGCCTAATTACACATTGAAACGTGGAGCACACCTTCACAGCACCTCCAGGTGAGTGACAAATTTGATCTGATCTCTGCTGATGTGGTCTTGTCACGTCCCCATTGCGGATTTGTGTTGACTGATTGACTAACGAGTATGCTAATTTCCCGGTCGGCAGCAGATCGGAGTTCATCCGAAAAACTCATCCAACTGATGTGACACTGACGCAAACGAAGTCGATTCGAAATAGACATTTTCTTGATGTCACAAGGCGGCTTATCCCGGTCGCAATTCCTTTATTCAGCAGCGATATAGTGGCGACTTGGCAAGACTGCCAAGAAACAGCTTGTTTTGCCTTCGGGTGCGGGTCCAAGAACGTCCCAAGTTAATTAGATTTGCGACCCCGCTGGCTTAATAAGCGAAATGGTAGAACACAATGACTAGATGCGAAACTCAATAACTTCCGTTTGTGCCCTGCACTGACCGACTTTGAAACACTGGTCCAAGCAGTGAAGATTTCGGATATTCTAGGCTAAATTATGGAATAATTGGCGGCCAAAATGGGACTCAAATCCGCCGAGGAGGCTCATTAGTGACAAATTGATCAGGGGCCTAATTAAATGTAACAAGTTAAGACTTGATTTGAACAGTTTTTGGGCGCATAGAAAAACAAGACGCAAGTTTTGCAGACTGGAAAGTATCAGGACAAAAAGGCAGACCCAATAATAATGGAATCCTTGCCTTGCCCTCCGAACGAAGACACGTTCTGCTGTACTTTAATTAATTTCGTCAAACTTTCTTTCGCATTCAAACAACGAGTTTTTGTCTTCCCCCAGAAGAAAATAAACAACTTAAAATTTCTTTTGGCCTGACAGCGAAATAACTTTTAACATTCTGTTGGCAGTCACGGAAGTCCCGGGGAAAAGGGGGGAAAAGGGTCGGGAAATGTATCGTCAGGGGAAAGGGTTAATGGAATTTTTATAATGAAAGCAGTGCCCACAATGGCCAATAAAGCACTTATAATAATAGCACATAATTTTCTGGCAGCACTCTAAATTGTTTCTGGCCAAGTGATCTTGTAAAACCTTTTCCAAATATCATACATCCCAAATACTCACCAACAGGGGTGTCAGTCTCTGTTCTACCGTAAATAATGTGAGAACACAAAGCAGCCAACAACGAAGGGAATGCCAGTCAACCACAATTGTTTGGCTATTTTTTAGCACTTGTCTCGATTTTGTTTGTTTTCCAAATCAAACGCAGAGGCAGCTGCTCGGCACTCGATTTCCCAGAAACATTTGGCACTCAAACTATTTGCTTTGGCACACTCGCCACCACCAGAAAAATGGCTTTGAGCGAGTTCGGAATGCGGGTTATTTGGTTCACTCTCGGATTTTGAATTTCCGTTTCGCGACCAGGCGCGATTGGATTAGCGGGCCAGCGACCTCGACCGTTTCAGTCGAATCCGTGAACAGGACTAACCTGGGCAAGTCGTCGGAACCGGCGCCAAAGTCGACGATTTCGATGCTCGATGGGATCCACACGAGCCCACGACCTCTGAAAAGTGCGCCAAATTACAATCTGCAATGAATTTCGAACGCCATCCACCATGTGCTCGTATGTGCGCATGTGCTGCTCCCGAAAAAACACAAGTGCTGTGTGAATTCCATTTGCAAGTGCCCCCGATGCCTTCCTTTCATCGGAATGAGTTTACTTTTGGCAGCCATCTGTTGCTGATGCTCCTCGGCCGATTTCATTCATGAGGTCGATTATATTCGCGCTCTCAATGGAAATTCTTTTTCCACAAATATTTTGCCAGCACACGCGTCGCTTTTGTTTATGTTTAATGATTTGATTGTATTTATAGCCGCTATTGTGGCCTTTCCATTGGATAACCGGTGCGTGGGAAGACTTCCCTTGGTTGACTGACTCCTTTCACAGTAATTAAACCATTTTTCAAGCCTTAACCAAGTGGATTTTCAAGAAATGTCGCGGCAAACCACTTCTTATTTTGTCTAGGTATCCAAATTCCCCTCAAATTCTTATTTAATTTATATTGAAAAAAACCATATCCAAATTAGATACTCTTTAAAGTAATTTTGTGGCATTCTTAATTCCGCTGGTTATTGGAAGAAGTAAATAAATGAAGACAGCCCTCTAAGCAAATTCAGCTTCAACCACGTAACGAGTGTTACTAAGATCAACCTTACAAATATTTACTGAGCAAGCAAAGTTCATCACCTTGTTGTTGTTTGCCAATCGGCAGATGCAATTACGACTGCGATCGAAAGAGCTTCATTGGGGCTGATATATAAGGCCGGAGGGCTGTTATTCGACCCTGCAGTTTGAAGCGAAAATGATTGCCACAACGGTTTGCTTTTACCTGGTGCTCTTGGCCATTCTCATGGTTTTCCTGTCGCCCACGGCAGAAGGTTGCTTTATCCTACTGGCGTGCCTGCTGAATTCGCCATATTGTCCATTCAACGCCACTGCATTAGGATGATAGAGTGACTGTTTGTGTACCCCCTTCCCACACCTAATAACTAAGAAAATATACCTAACCATGATTTAAATGAAAGAAATAAAAGCCTTAAAGTTTAATGCGGGAGGGAACTATCGAAAAAGGTTCTTAGTTTCTTAAATACTGTTTTGCTCAGTACACAAATCCGTTGGGCAGTGTCTATTTTGGTTTCCAAAACTTAGTGCTTAAAACTAATTCTTACGCTTCTATGTCGCCCACGAATTCTCTAATTCTGTTACGCTTTCGTCCCATTACGCATTCGCACCGTGGGCCCACGACTTTCCAGCGATTGTTTGGCCAACTACTGGCTGCCTACGCCGCAATACCTGACGTATGAGTGATATTTAATTAATTGCCATCTGCCTGCTGTTTGCACTCAGTAAATTTGAATTACAATCCGGGAAAGTCAACACAGCAATGTGTGTACGCTACCCCCGGTGATACACGCCCCTTCCTCCGCACGTGTGGATATAGACCCGCACCCCCCCCCTGGAGCTCAGCACCTCCCCCCGCAGGCTCCAGTCTGCCCATGGATGACTAGACAAGCAAAAAGTCGTTTGGAGAGTGGGGCGGAGACTTTGACACGACTTGGCGACGACAGCTTGTAACATTGTGGCGCCTCGGAGTATGCCGCTACAGCAGACTGCGGATTTTTACACCTTTTCGAACACTTAAAGTTGACTTAACAATGATTTGCTTCATTTGTCACCCCGAAATTGGAAAACCTTTTCCCACCATAAAAATTGAAACGAACATTGTGCGCGATGTGAAATTAAATAGCAAGTTAAAACTAGCTTTATAGAAGGTAGGAACGTTACCTACATTGACATTTCAAGTGGCTTTAAATTATACATTATCTTCCGTATTTATATATTCTCTGTTCCACCTTGTATAAACATTTCTCTTCAAATTAGAAAATATCGTTTGCACATATTGTCTGTTAAAAATGGCAAAATGTGGCATGGGCTGATTTTTAGAGAACACTGTAAAGTATCGATTTAGCCTTGTAAAAAGTGGACGTTTGTCCACTTCATAAATGAAAACGAAAATCAAAATAAGTTTTTGTGTAAGTGGGACAACCGTCGAGTGCGCCAGAACTGAAAACATTTTACACTCACAACATTTTAATTTTAATTAAAACTTGTTCAAATAGCTTTCCATTTTTTGACAACTATAATATAAATTATTGCTTTATTTCCTTATTTTCATTATTTTATAATTAAAATATTAAGCTTTTAAACAATGGAGTGGAAAGGAAGAGAAAGGGATCGGTGATGCCAAATTACGAAAACTAGTTCCCAAAATCGTTAGTTCTTGTCATAAATGCGATGGCCGTGTGTTTTGAGGCATTTTCTTGAAAAAACAAACTAAATTACATGGCTAATTGCCTTAAACTACTCTCTTAAAGTCTTCCGAATTTGTTGATTCCTAAGTTTTCTCTTACATAATAAAGTTCATGTAATCGCGAGCTACAGGCTCGATGGGCTCAAATGTTGATGAAGAACACATGTTCGTTCGAAAGGATTAAAGAATTTTAAAGTTTAACCATAAGTCGGTAGGTTACCCGTGTCTCCCTAATATATGTACAATGCTGCCATTAGTAAGCAACTTAAACCCTTTAACTTATGGCCACGAAAGCGTCGCTTCTCTCAGCCAAACTTTGTTCTCGGTTTTTGCTCGCTTGGACGCCTTGTGTTTCTTTTGTGTTCTGTGTTGCTTTTCCTTCCGAGCCAAATCGGTTTGCGGTGTGGTCTGGGCCTTAAATTCCACTTCTGTTCAGCCCAAGAGTGGGCCGCAAAAATGTTATCCTTTGTGTGCGAAAAGGTACCAACTCCCGACCGGAAATTATACCGCCCACCTGCAGGGTCAAACGGGCATTGTTACCTGGCCATTGTTGGCTGCATTTTGTTATTCCTCGGTCCATGCTAATTAAATGCCAATTGGCTTGCTTCAGTTCATCTTCGTTAGGGGGCAAAAACTGGAGGAGAGTGGAAGCCCATCCATGTTCCATTAAATGATGTCTACGTTCGTGGCATTTATTGATATTCGCTTGGCTCATCTTCCACATTAAGTGAACCGCCCGAGGCGTCTAATGATTTCTAAATTTAATTTTCATTTACCAAAGTGGAAAAGGAGGTAGGGCTCGAGCCGCCCACAAACAGCCTGCGGTTTCCTTTCAATGCGAATCGCACACATTTTTAGTACTTTCCTCTGACTCTTCGAAGATGGATGTTTGGGCAAATAAAAGTGGCAATGAAATTTACATTGCCTAATTGTCACACACATTCATTGGAATTCGAGAAGCATGCTGACATGAACCGACATATGTATATTAAATAAATTCCAGCTCCAGTAGCCTTTAAGGCATTCAAACCACAAAAGAAACCTGGTCAAATAAATTATTCTGAAAATGTGTCAATGTGAAATAAAATTTTAAAAATCCACTCCTTTGATTTGTGCCAGTTGTTCTCCACACACGAGATCGGAATAAAAAAATTATTACTGAAAACCCAACAATAAATTAAAACTTTGCTTGTAATTTTAGGTGAAATAAAAATAAAAGAAAAACAATTTTTTAAACACATTCCAGAAGGACTTATACTTGGTAAAGCATAAATTCGTCATAATGACAATTATAACATATAACATAACAATTATTTGCCCATATTTGAAGAGGTTTTATGTTACAATAGGATTTCCACCCGAAACAAAGTCCTGCAAATTGAATAAGCTGAAACAAAGATTGCTTAAACAGTAAGCAACATAAATGACAGCGTCCAAGTTGCAAGGTGACTATTAAATCTCCGCAAAATTCGAAGCTTTGAATTTGACTAAGTTTCGCTCATTACGAAGCTGGGCTAAATCCCACCCAACCGCCTCAAATGACCCGAAATGAGCAGCTCCGGGTGGGAGTTTGCCTTTGGAATTGCGCAACCAGAACACGTACTGACAGCGGCGAAAGTGAAAGCCACAGCCGAGCAAGCTTTGCACTTAATTAGTGCAAATAACTAATGACAAACTTCGCACTTGCCGGAACACTTCGGCTCTTAGTCAAGAAACTGGCCAAGCAGAACGCAAAGGGGATATATTTGGGCTGTATATTGTTTGAGCGGTTGATGTATCCTATCGTGCTTAAGAAGGGAAGGTTTATTTACTTTGGGTGGCATACATTTCTGTGTTGGCTCAATGGAAACGTTGATTTTCAATAATTTACATCCCGATCATTAAGTGGTGGTGGTCCTGAAGGGACATATCTGCAGCCGGTATAAACAGGCCCACAGGAGCAGTGTGGACTCGGCAGTGGGCACCAAGAAGATCAGCAGGACTGAGACCAAAAGCAGGTAGAGCCACAACACTGGGATATCCATGGTTCCGAGTTGAAGCGAGGAAGTTGACCGACTGAGCGCCCAGTGCCCATTTATAGGCCCGCGGCTGGCTCCGTTCATGTTTGACCAGTTGCGACCTGGTCGCATGTCTTTGACCCCAATCGCAGGCGGTAAACATTTGCCCAGCCCACAGCAATGGACCGCCCATGGGCAGTGCAACCTTTAAGGCCTCCCAAGGCACACTCCATAGCAGCTGAAACGCAATTACCCACAAGTAATTGTCACATTTTCAACTCATCGAAATTAAATTACTTTTCGGCTGATGTCAGATGTGTGGGACGGTGACGGTTGCCTAAGGCAAATTAGTCTACAAAACTCGATCTGACATTTCACATTCACGATTATCTTTGCGGTCACAAATTGAATTCGTTGATGCATGAATGTGCCGGGTATCGAATAAATCTCATTTGGCTGCTAATTGTTCTCGAATGTGTCCTAATGCATAACAAACAGTTTAAACTTTTGTTACCTGGTTGTATATTGTACTAAAATATCTCTTGAGTGACATTCTACGTAGTGACGAAGTTTGCGATAGGAGACTACCATATAAAACGTTTGCCAATTTGATCAAAAAATATTGTTACGAGATACTATTTGGCTCTCAAAAATTTCGGTGAAAGTAAAAAAAATTAATTAAAAGAAAACAGCAATAAAGGATGCGTCGAGCAATACCAAATCATATGAACAATTTCAAAAGTTATTTGTTTAAAAGATTGATATGCCATTTTTTACCTTTGAAGCATAAGAAAACTTTTGTTTTTATTTATCTTAATGTTAAGTTAAAGAAATTAGGTTTTATAGACTTTTGATATTGTTTTAATTTTAAAAAAGAAAATATAACTATTATAAATTATATACAATTCACTTTTTAAAATACTCAAGTATCTAATTTTCAAAAAATTAAATAAAATAAAAAATATATACTTGTATATGATCTATTTTTTAAATTACAATTTTGTATAATATTTTCAAAATATTATGTTTCCCATTTAAAAAAATATAGTTTTTGATTGACCGCAGCTGTATGTGTGTTGGTTTTTTAGGTAAATTTTTTATTGTAGACTCCTGGAATAACTTTTGTTGTACTAGGCAGCTAGAGCTGGCAAACGTTTTTAATAAAACTGTTAAGAAAATCCGATAACGTGGCTACGAGAATGCCAAACGCATATAGTCTTGCGAATCTACAGATAAGTTTTTATCACTCTTTTTTGACATAACTGATCTGTACGATCTACATTTCAAATTAAAAAAAAAAACTGAAAAATATATAATGTCTTACTATTTGTAGCTTTTTCAATAGTGGAAGAACTAACTAATTTTTAGCTCAAGCTGTTTAATGAAAACATAACTTTCGAGCGAAGTATCGGTAGAATATACCTTTGTGAATTGTTCAACGAATGACTTTACATCAACTTTTCATGCAATTTTGCCATTCCTGAACGATAACTCGTTGACCAGATTCCAATTTCCCGAATATATTTGGTTGGGCATTGCGCCACTTGCATACAGAGATGTTATTAAGTGCACTTGACCAGGGAGTCATGTAGAACAGGAAAGCGACGTAAAAAGCACCCTTTTTGTGGGCAACCCCATACAATTCCATACACCTTTTCACCCTTATGCGAGCATATTTTCTCCCTGGCCACGCGCCGTAGACACTCATTAATAATGCATTGTCTGCGAGCCATAAACAAGTTTACTTGCCAGTTCGTGGGCGCTGCTTCTTTTGTTACAGCAGCAACTTTAAATATGACAACAATTAAGTCGAAAATATTTGTCAGCCATGCTAATGCCAGGCGACAGTTGCTGCAGCCGAATTATGCAAATGCTGGCCATGTTGACGAGTATATCCACCATTTTGGTAGTCGCTTTTGCATTTAAAACCAGAGAGAGGGTAATCTATGAATAGGTTGCGGAATTAAACATTAAAGCAACAGGTGGAATACGAAATTAGTTTGGCATTCAATTAAATGGCTATAAGAAAGGAACATAACAGGAAACCTAAATATAAACCAAAGGATTAATAATAATATTTGTTTCAAAATGTGTCTTTGCTCCATCCTTCTTCCTAGTTAACCAAATTTTTGAATATAGATTGCTTTTATATAATAGTTGAACATTTCAAATTATCAATATTATTTTCAAACTTCAATTGGGTCCAAGTGGCTTATATGCAATTCCAATATATCAATCCAGTGTGTGGAACTTTGTCTTACCAACATCCACTAAGTTTAAGTCAGCTTCTGCACATATATAACATAAATCCTGCTAAATCATTTAACTATTTTTCATTTCGTCCTGCAAATTACAACAACCGCAAAGTTAAAATGTAAATATATCCCAAAATATCATTCGAAGGCGAAATAAAAAACCTTCTTTGGTTAAATAACATATTTTCTTTTTTGAAAAGCAAAATAAAAAAATAAATATGCGCGTATAATTGCTTAGTGAAAATTTCAACTTATCAGTACCTAGAGATAACATTAGCAATTTAATGCGTGGATGGGGGCCCAATTTAAATTGAACAAACAATTTTTGATTTCCAATTGCCTAAAATTAAAATACCACATATAAATACGGAAATGGGTTTGAGCGCGAGACGCTATTGAACCAAAACAGTGTCGTGCTCTTGCACAGAATAGAAGTCCAGCGTTTTAGCATTATTGTCCAGCGGAACAACCAGATCCGGATGCTTTGCATCAATGTAGCACAGCTGGGGAACGTTACCGGCTAGCCGAAATCGCTTCATGATCAGTCCCTGCAGAGTCTGCACAGTAATCATTCGTGGAACTTTCTTCTCCCAGATCTCGCCCGTCAGCTGATGCCGTATGCGAACATTAATTAAATTCGATTGCTTTGCTTGGATACGCGGTACAAAGTCTGCCGGGGAGCCATACTCTGCACAAAAAAAGGAAAACTTTAGTCTTCGAATCACTTGGTCAGAAAATAGCTTACTTTTAACCAACAATGGATAGGTGCGATGACGACGACAGAACTCACGCAAGGAATCCGATCCTTGATGCGTCGCCTGCATCCAATCCAGGGCGTATTTCTTCCAAATATCGTACTCGGCACCACGTCTCTCCTCCGCTGTCACCTCGGTTCTATTGATGAAGTGTAGGCCGGCTATGCTAGCCACGGCCTTGGAGGCCATTTCATCAAAATTTGACTTTAAGTGCGGCGTCATACTCAGACGTTTCAGCTGGGGCAGCTTGTCCAACTCGTTGAACGCATCAGCCTGTGCAAAGTATATTAATAAAACTAATTTTGATTGCGGCTAGTGGCCAAGTCCTACCTCATTCCAAATGGGATTGTGAAGAAGGTTCAACTGCTCCAGCGAGACAAACATATTCAGTTTCTCTTGCGGATCGCAGTCGGGAAGCTTTATCTCCTCGATGCCGTTCTCCATGAGATTCAACAAACGCAACGTAGACAGGTTGCCCAACTTGGCCACCTGATCAAAGTCCATGATATTCGTGCGATGCAAGTCAAGCTCCTGCAGCTGCCTGAAGATCTTTTTCCGATCGACCTCGGCCAGCTGAGCGAAAGAGTTCTCCTGCAGGCCCAGAGACACAATGTCGGGCCAGAGAAGTGCCGTCTGCATCACATCCCTCCAGTCGGAGAAGCCGCAACTGCGCAAGTTGATTCGTTTGAGCTGCCGAAAGGAGGGCTCCAGATCCGCGATTTGGGACGTCGTGGGCAGGACCAGTCGGTTGGAGCTGGAAGGTTAGTGCAATGGGCAGTGGTCAGTCAATAGGCCAACAGGAATATGCATTCTACTTACCTCAAGTTCAGAACTGTAAGGGAGGGCAGCTGCTGCGCGATGCTGGCCACGATCTCCCAGTTCCAGATCAAGGTGTGGCTCACGTTCAGCGTGGTCAGCTGTGTCAGCTCCTTCAGGTACCCGGCAGCATTCACCGGCGTTTGGTCAACGCTCACCTCCTCCAGCTGCTCGAACTTGCTCTGCTTGCGGGCGATCTTGTCCATGCCCACGACCTCGAAGAGAGACGCCTGCAGACTCGCCTGGGCCTCTCGAATGAGGGATTCGTCCACGTTGCTCGAGTCGTAGTTCAGGTACCGCTCTCGGGCAGCGTCCTCCAGGGTGGCGCACGGGCCCACCTTGCCCGGCCGGATGAAGCTGCCCGCCGTGGGCGTCTGCGTCTGGAAGTAGCGCTTGCCGTCCACAATGCCGTTGTGCTTGCCCCGCAGCCCGTCGTCCCACTCGATGCCCAGCCAGGTGCCCATGTGGCCGCTCACCTGGAACACGAAAGACGCAGCGGAGTTAGATCTCTGGTCTGCGGAAACCCTTCTCCTGCAGCTTACCTCTCCCACATAGCGCACTGTGCCGTAGTTGTCGGCTATCTTGATGCGAGTTCCCAGCGGATAAAACAGCTGCGCCTCATCGATAATGCCCACCATCTCGATGGATTTTGTTTTTGTGGTTTCCGCGGCTCCCACACAAGTACACACGAGTCACACACTCGCACACGCCTTTGTGTCTGTATTCCGCAGCTGCTCCCAATTTGTGCTCGATTCGAACTCCGGTTAATTTGTCCCGCTTTTACATCGACATTACAGTCTGGAAGGTGCAGAATTAGGGCTGTGGAATTATTGTGCAGCCTTTATTCTGAGTCACAAACTGTTATTTTTATTTTAGTTTAGTCGAGTGTGGCCCTAAACGGAAGCTAACGAATTACCTATAATAAACGGGGACTGGTCACACTGCGAGAACCAAAAGTTACAACGTAACGTAACAAAACGTAACGTAACAATAATTCGTAAATACCGTTGACTTCCTTTTTATTTTTGAAAAATTACAGCCGTTACACGAACGGGTAAACGGGTATTTCCATACAAAGCATGTAACATTGTACTTCACTGTTTACAAGTTCGACCTAAAATGTCTAATTTTCTCGATAACAAAAAAAATCGGTAAAAGAATACTAATAATATAATAATCTGTCATGATTTTAATTAAACGACTTTAATTTTTTTATTAAAAATATCTAAAATTTTATATATTTATTTTCAAAACTTATCATTATTCCGGAGTCAAATACCAAAATCGTAAATACTACTTACTAAATAGAATATAAACTGAACATCAATAAGCTTAGTACCAGTGAAATTCATTTTTTTCGAATGGTATAGTGTGTAACACATAAAACACTAGTAAACACAATGTAGAGTTTTAATGCTCAATTATATGGAATTTTTTTAATTAGATGGATGGCGCTACACGGTTCTAATATAGCCCAAAGTGGACTGCTTTGATCAATCCCTCCATGGCATTGTCGGTGTGTTACATCACCAGGTTCTGTTAATTACAGTTCGGTTTTTTCGCTTGTCGGGAAAGGTAACAATATTCGTACGTGTATACAAAATAACTGACATTTACTAGGTTCGGTGAGCAAACCTTAAGCCAGTTCTCTTAGACTTCTAATAGTTAAACAAGTTACACATCAGGTAGCAAATTGTTAAAGTATGTAAGTTTCGTAAACTATAACAAGTTAATCAGTTAGTCGGGCTTGTATATCTTATCAATCGTTCCGGCCATATAGAATAATCAAAAAGACATGAATCAGTATTTAATATGATGTTATATATGGTTGACGGCATCAAGGTATTATCTTTTCTGGGTCACTCGCCCCCGCGACCATCGTCCACCGCTAATCCAATTTGCGACCGTCTGGCAGTCCAAATGCACATCCGTATGTATGTATGTATGTAGGTATGCAAACACATTTGCATGCACGAGTACTTGGCGTATGAATATCATATTGTTGCACCCCGGTACCATAATTTTTGGCGCCCAATTTACTAAAGAGCATGAGTGTCGGAGAGAGTCGGAGAGAGGCAAAGCTCGGGAACGACTGCGCGAAGAGAAAGAGGAGAAGGTGAAAGCTCGCACAAGGACAATGCGAGGCAACGGTACTCAAAGCCTCAGTCGCCCGCAGCCAGTCGCCCAGCAGAAACGTCGCGCTTTATTTCGCTTTCCGCCGTTGTTCTTCGCCCCACAATTTGCATGCTAAATGCAGATATGCAGGCGAAATGTGATTAAAAAAAAAGAAAAAGGAACAGAGAATGTGCGATAGCCGCTGTTTTCGCTGAACAGTGTCGAAAGTGCTGCGGTGATTCAAGGGGGAAAAGGAGACGAGCTTTTCACTAGACCACGTGGCAGTTCAAGGCGGAGGACCTCTAGGTAACGGGTGGAAAAATCGAATCGTCTGTCGCCAGACGGCTAAAGTAGGCAATTAGATCGACAAAAATTGTGTTTTACATATGTACATATCTCTGAGGAAATCGTCGAAAGGTTACGATTTTAATGCAGTGATAAATGAGCTAACGTTACCCTTGATGTTAGCACTTAAAACCTGTTAAATCAATACAAAAATTCTTTGGGTTAAAGGTTTCCAGTCTGAATTTACTTCCAATTAAAGTTATGTAAACAAAATTAAGTGTTTGCAAATGGGATATTTGACAAACGTTGCACTAGATTATTTGACTTTTCCAGCAACACTTCGATTACGAATGAGTAAAATTTAATCAATATTCCCCCTCCCTTTAATGGCTATATTTTGTTTGTTGTTATTAGTGAAAGTATATTACGATAACTGATGGACAAACATATTATTAATGCAAAAATAATATTACTTTGTTTAAATCAGGGTCTAAATGAGTCTCATTCTGCCGAAGTGTCCTTTTTGAATCAGAGCTTTTGGTCTCGCTTCCACTTGCTTGGGTTTAAACAAACAGTTTCCTTCCCCCGGGTTCTTGACAATGAAAAGCACAATGTCAGCGGCTGACCCTGCCTATTTTCCTTATAAAGGCCGGCACCTGTACCTTGTGAGCCAGTATTGTGGCCTGATCTGGCATTATTCATAGTCGTCATGCGGTCGAGCGCCAAAAAGTGTACTTCGAAATACGTGGCTGGCTAAAAATGGCTAATGTCTCGGCCTTCGGTTTCCGCTGTAGGTTTTTTGGCCCTTGGCAAATGGCCAATAGACAGCTGCGGCAACTGTCAACGCCGACATGATTTCTTATTCATTTATCTTACTTTTTGCCGGCAGGCCAGTGGCCATTTAGTTTGTTTGTAAAAACCTTCTCCAGTGCAAAATAGGACACGTTGCAGCTGCAATGCATTGTTCAACAAGAGTTGAACACCTTCCCATCGTGCGGCGATTCGCACGTGAATCAGAGCTCATGGATAGCGAAGAGTGATCTGTTCTTACTCAGACCATTCTTTAGTGTAAACAGTAGTGAGGTGTAATGAGATGGTCTTCAACAAACCAAAATAATATATATTTATTATTGAGAATTAGGTATCGTAGAAACATTGCTACTTAGGCCTTATCGTGATTCAATCAATATCAATACCAATCTTTTATTTAAAAATAGTTGCATATTTAGTTTGTAAATTTTTTATAAGCCAGGAGCTACTGTAAAAAGTTTTCTACAATTTCGAATACGGGGACACGCAACCAAGTTAATTTTTAATGAAAACCATAGGACAGGGGTTGAACCGGATCAATAAGCATTTCGTTCATAAATACTTAACTGCTCAATTTCTTAGCAACAATCAGTTTAAACAAACCAAAGACGTCGCCAAGCTATCGTCCTCGCCAATAAACACCGTCTAAAAATGGGATGGGACTGGGACTGGGCAGTCGGAGGCATCTCCGATGAGATTCCGAGAACGACGGGGCCAGAGTGCATCAACTACATGACAGACCGGCGGCGTTGGGTGGAGACCATACTGCTGTCCGCCCTCTTCATCTTCATAATGCATCGGTCTTGGCAACGCCTGGCGCCGATCAAACTGCCGCCGCTCCACGAGATCCAAAAGCCACACAGTCCCACGAGGCTGTGCCTCCTAATCGCCTTGTCCATGATTTTCGGCATCGAGATGGGCTTTAAGCTCACCGGACAGTCTATGATTTTCGCACTTAATCCTTGTCACGTGCAGTCCTGTCTGCAGGTTGGAGAATTAGCAAAGCGGTTTGCCTACAGCAATTGACATTACATATGATTTTTGCAGATCTATCTTCTGGCCGCCAAGCCCACGAAGACGACGACAGCGCTCTATCGGATACAGATGAGCAACCTTAACGGTCCCTTCCTCGCCTTCGTCTTCCCCGAGGTGGAGGGACGCACGTATGCCTTCGAGCAGGCCACTTACTGGATTCAGCACGCCCTGCTCTATATAATCCCGATTTACTTACTTCGGAGCGGTAGTTACGAGACGCTAATTGTACGGTCTGGAACTAACTCTTTATTTATATTCCAGGAGCGTACACTGTCGAGGACCTCAGCGAATTCCACTGGTCCCACATAGGGACAGCCTTCATGCTGTTTTACCACTTTTTCCTGCTTTCACCGCTATCCATAGTAAGTGATTTAGCCAAATTAATTCATTCAAAGTTAGATTATTTTGTTGTTTTCATTGTGAATTTTATTTTAATTGATGGTTTACCCAATGAAACGATATTATAGCTGTCAAGGGTACATTTCACATTATTTTCTAAATATGATATAATTCGAGTAACTTTTGCCTTAAACTTATTCCTCTTTATTCTTAGCCTATTATTTATTCTACGACCTGGGCAAAAAGAAATATTAAATATTTTTATTTGTAAATAACATAAAGATGTTAGGAAACTTATTGGTTTTCTTGGTAGATTTTTTTCCAATTAATAACACTGAAGTGTTTGCCATTGTCAGTATAATTTTTCTAGAGACTTAATCGCATTTGATTATGGCAATTTAAGATATTTAAGCTTAACCACAATTGTGCTGAAACTCTTTTCGAATTTTAAAAAATTTGTATTTTTTGTTTTGCATTTCCAAATAATTATGTATTTCCCTTCGCCGCAGTTCACTGGCATCAATCTGGACCATATGCTCTGTGCGGCGGTGTCGGATCCGTTCCAGGGCCCAAACTACCGGCTGTGCGCCTGCTGCCACCAGATGCTGCTCTGTCCGCTGCTGAGTAAGGGAACAGTGCTGCTGTTCGGCCGGCGGAGTAAGAGCAACCCCGGCCAAAACGGATCGGGTGGTATGCCGGAGTCTAGAAGCGAGGCGGCACAGTACCACCAACAACTGACTACAGCTGAATATGCTGCACAGGGGGAGGCACTGATGCGGCACCGATTTAGCGCCCAGGAGGCGGCGGAGGAACAACATCAGCATCAGCAAGACGCCGCCGAGATGGCCTCCCTTTCGGCAGAGTACACTATGCCCACAACCAAGATCGACTAGTACAGGAGCGGCAAGGGGCCTAGAAACGCCTACTGCGTCTATTATGGCTGTCAATTCACGAACCACGTAGGGCAACTTTGGTCCCTGTTTTTCAGATAGCCACGTATCCCGATACCGATATACTGTGAGAACTGACAGCGGAATGTGTTGAACAAAGGACGTGTAGATAATAACAATTAAGGCTAATTTTCATGCTCATCGAGGTTATACTTCTAAACAAAACAACAACAAAAAAAAACACTACTTAAAGTTATATATTTGTTCAATAGAAACCAATTCTTATTTTGATGGCAAATCAAAAGTTACCACACTGCAAAGATTAACTATAGTGTACATTTCTTAAATTGTAAGTCCATAGCGAACAAATAAATTTAAAATTCAAATTTAGCGCCAAGGGCTGGGCAACTTTGTAAGTTGGCGGTAGGTCCGGCAGCACTGACAAAGTGAGCTGTGAACTGTGAACCAATCAACCATTTATCCGTAGCTGTGAAAAGTCAATAATAAAAGTTTGATATAATTATCCGCTTTTAACCGTTTTATTTGCACTTTCAAACAACGTGCAGATGTTTTCTTTAAAAAGTAGCAAAGAAAAAAAATGTGACCGTTAACCCGCTGACTCAGCTGTTCAATGTTTTGGTTCGGCTGCGAACTAGTTCGCTCCGCTGACTCACGACGAGCGAGCATTTTGTTCTAACGTGAGTAACGACGCGGCGCAGCGTTTTTGCTGTTTGGCGAAAAAAAAAACGTGCTTAATGCAAAGTTTCCTTTCAAAACCGTTCGAAGGACTCGTCCGAACGCGTTTACCTTGTACCTGTGCTGTGGTTGGCCATCCTGCAATTGCCCAGATCGGTTTCCTAGTGCACTGCACTCGAATACGACACATCCGCCCAGAAAAGTGCCCCCAGTGATTTGTTCGTTTCTTGGGACTTGGCAAATGTTAATCTGATAACAATAAGCGGCGGCGGTGCCTTAATTTCAATTAAATAAATCGAGAGCGGCGGCAGCGACGTTAACGTCGCAGGTTTTTATAAGAATAACCCGTATGCTTGGACGCGTGTGTGTTTGTGAGTGTGTGAGTGAGCGCTGAAGATGCGCGAAAACGTCAATTAATTGCAGCAGCAACAACAACCGCACGGCGCAAATAACGTGGGGCCAAAAGGTGCGAATGAAGCGCAAGAAAAAGAAAAATCAATAGGAATAGAATGCAAATCGCCGGGGAACATGTATCGATATACATATAGTCCAAGCCCAGATCGAAGCCAAAAACTACCGCCAGCAGCAGGAGCAGAAGCCAGCGAGTCGACGCTATTAATAAACATAAATAATATCGCAATAATATCGGGGCGGCCGCTGCGTCGCCTACGCAGATGATGCGTTGCAAACGCCAAGTTGCGTAATTGCCGAATCCGATTCCGAATCCGAGTCCGCGCAAAAACAAGAACAACAACCACAACAACAACAACAACAACAACCAAAACCAACTAACAACTCGTATTTCGCCGCTAAAAACGTTAGAACAAAGTTCGTGGCCAGAGTCTCATCTCTAACGTGTGTGTGTCCGTGTGACCGTCTCTGTGCGCGCGTGTGTGTGTGTTTACTCCGGTGTAAGTGTCAGTTCTTTGCCAACAACAACATGGCCGCCGCAACAGATGGCTCTGCCAGGGCGGCCGCAGCAGCGGCGTCGACGTCGCCGCGAACAGCAGCCTCGGCAGCATCGAACGGGAGCGGTCTGACCGGCAAACCGCCCGGATCCGCCCCCTCATCATCGGCAGCGACGGGAGCAGCGGGGGCGGGATCGGGCACAGCCTCATCCGCCGGACTTCCCGCCTCCGTCTCGCACTTCTACTACAAGCACGGCCTCTTCCTGTCCAGCTACCCGACGTGCGCCTCCAGCATCGCCTTCATGGCGATTCTGCTCTCGTGGTCAGTGCCAAAAATGTGCAATCACAATCACAGCAAGATTGTATTTATCCAGGGGAGGATTAAAAGTGATTGAAGGGGAACTCTTTAAATAACGAAATAAATTTAAAACCGATTTTCCAAAGTTATATTATGTTCTTATATTGGGTTATATTATATTGCTGTTCCGGAAAAATGTACTTTCTTAACTTTTTCTTTCAGTCCCAGATTCCTTCAGGACCTAAATTGCAAATATTTGTTGTAATTTCGGGACACTCAAATGTATTCTTTAGGTTTTAGCTTTTAATCGGACACAGCCAAAAACTTGAGGAAACTCTTCAAGTTTCTAAAATGGGTCTAATTTATTAAAAAAAAACCCCGTTCCGCAAGATTTTAAAAATCTAAAAAAATACTTCTTTTTCAAAAAAAAAAACTTTGACCAAACATTACACTATTTTTTATAATTTTTTGTATAAAACAAAATCTTTATCTTTTTAATATACGAAATGGTTATGCTTCCACTTAAGATTTAAAAAGGGTTTTTTCTACAAAAAACTTTTGCTTAAGTATTTCTGAGGTGTTATTTTTAAGGGGTTGAAAAATTGCTCAGAGAGCTTTAAACCCTAATTGCTATTTTCTCATCGATCAGTATTGCGTGACTTAAAATTACTAGCAGGCCAATTGCTTTCAAAAGCCGATACACTATAAACTAAGCTCTCTAGTCAAAATGAAATGAATAAATATTGAAATATAAACTTCCTTAATCCAATCAGCAACAAAAAAATAAACAGGAATAAGTTACTCTCCTCGTTGATTAATTGCACTTGCAGTTTGATATTGCCATTGATTATCAGTGAAATTTGTTGAACCTCTCGCGCTGGGCGTTCGAAGTACGTCAATACACACATGCTATGTATACCGATCTGTGGAATTGTATAATTTTGAGATGTTGTAGATAAAGACATAAGCTTTGAGGAGCCCGCTAAATCAATTGTAAAATTTAAAACATATCAACGTACTGTATATTATATGTGTTATCTTATGTGCGTTGAACATAAAGTAAATGTTTTAATTGTGCTTCCGATTTTCAATAAACAATGTATAAACTATATGGAAACATTTCACATTCTCTGTTTAATAAAATTCCACACAATTAAAAAAAAAAGGTTGAATCATTTTAACTACTTTGCTTGTCAAAGCATTAAGACAAATCCGAAACGAACTCATTACTTCCGTCGTATCTTCTACTTCATTGCTCATAAGCAATTATGTAGAATCCATTAATGTGATTTTCATGATAAGTTTTACGATAACGTATACGACTTGAGTTGTCAACCGGCGCCTGTAAGCGGGATTCGAAAACCGATGCTGGCCTTATCGAAAACGCTTTTTGTTTTTTTCGGTAGCTGCATGGCCAGTGTTTTGGCACCTCTCCTCAGCTATCAGCGCCCTTATCACTGGAGAGCGACGTGGTCAGCGCCGTTCACCGGCTTGCCGCTGTTGTCTTGGGCCTTGGGCTTGGGCCTTGGGCTTGGGCCTTGGGCCCATGCAAACGCCCAATGGCCCGCTGACCTTGAATACTCTAAACGCTATTTACTGATAGGTGATGATGGCTACGAAGCACTTCCACACGCAATCGCTTAAGCCACGCGTCGATCTTAAAATAGAAAATTAAGCGAATTAGCCGAGCACTTCCATTAACGACGCTCTCTCCCGTTTTCCCGCAGCTATCCGTTAATCAACATACCGTTGCCCGGGACAATACCCACCAAGATTGTGCTGCCCTACGAGGCTGGTCTTGGTTCTCTGACAACGTACCATCACAATGGCTCCACGATTCCGCTGCAGTCGCCGCCTGCCGCCGGCGAACCTCCGCCCGGCGCCGGACCCGCTCAGGCTCTCAACGGCAGTGCCACGGACCGCAGCCCGCCTCCCCTGCTGCCGTGGGCGCAGAGTAGCCCCGCCTTCTTCTACGTCCAGCAGATAACGCTCCGAGCAAGCGTGCTCCCGTGGACCGAGGGCATGCAGCTGATGGATGCATTTCGTGCGCCGCTCTACGAAGTTTTTAAATTGCTCGAAATTGTGCGCAATCATCAGAGCAGCGAAAAGTGAGTAGCTCGAAGCGGAGTACACCCTTTCTGTGGAGTAAGTTAATGGACTTGTTTGTTTGCAAACAGCCAGCGCACCCTGGAGCACAACTGTTTGCATGTGGAGAACGTGAAGAGGGGAACCCACGGACAGCTGGACCAGATCTTTCCCGAGTACGGCTGCCTGCTGCTCTCGCCGGCAAACCTTTGGACGCAGAATGCTCAGAACTTCACCCGGGACACGAACATCCTGAACACTATATTTCAGTATCATGTAAGTAAATTAACCCCTAACCCCTTACTAGTATGTACTTAGTGAGAATTAGACAACTTAACACCATAGTGCACTTTTATCGGAGTTGGCTAGTATATTTTCCCTGACCCCCACTCAAATTCCATGCATATAAACTGTGCTTAGGGAAAATTAGTTAGCTTTACCTTTGCACCGGCACCGGAATGGGTAGGGTTGAAATAACCACCAGCTGGTCGCTTTTCGATTGAAGTGCCTGATTAGGCATAGGCTCTAGGGCATAACCCATATGTGTACGTCATCGCCAGCGGGCTTCACCCAACATTACCACCAGTCTGTACATATTTTAGCACACTCTGTTGAAATCGAGAAGGGTGTTGCAGTCTAGACTGCGGGCAAGCTAGACCTTTGGTCTTTTAAATGCATGCATTTGGATGTGCACTATAGGGTTGTCTAGGCGATTGGTTTCGAGCTAATGAAAGGCACACACGCTGCGTAATAGCTCTCCACGCTAAGTGCTCGCTGACGAGCGTTCAGATTCAGATACCGCATATATCGCTTCGATCTAGTGAGAGTGATTCACACTTGACACGATTTGCTTCAACGGTTACTTCAATGAGCTCTGTACACAAGCAGATAAATGTGAATGAATGTTAGTATTTTTAAATAGAGATTTAAAACTTGCAAATAAAAATTTTAAGAACCTGATGTCCCCAAATTTGTGTTCGGTGTGCAATCATACAACAAACATGTTTACTGCGGAAAGTTTTTTATTGAACATTTTAGGTACTCGTCAAATAAAGTGATTTCGGGGTTATGATAATGGTCAAGTTCAAGGAAATTGGTCTATGTTAAATCGGGGAAATACTTAAAGGCTCAGATAAACACAACTATCTGACAAAAAATTTTTGCTAAAACCCTCATTTATATCAGGGTGGGAAGTATTGATAAAATTGTGGAGTAAAAGAACAATCTATTGGAAGCATATATTGGGAGTTCTGCTGATAAGCGCTTTGATAATTTACTGGCAAATCAGATCGATTAATTCGAGCTGGAAATTCTCACAAGTGTCGATTACTGGTGATGAATCATTCTAAATCGAAAAATTATTAAAAACGCTTTTATTTATTTGGCTCTAAACAAAAAAGGAACACACCCCTTGAAATGTTGAGTGCATTGTTATCAATAGCGCATATGTTTATTATTATACCCATTACCTCGAGACTAAAATGGTTTAATGAATTCGTTGAGAAGTATGTAACAGGTAAAAGAAAGCATTTCCAACTCTGTAAAGTATTTGTATTCCTGATTAGAATCAACACTATAGAAAGTATTGAGAGTTTACCCACAAATGTAAATCTAATCTAATTCGTTTGAGTTAAGCTAGAGAAAGGTCATTGGGTGGTATACATATATATTAATTTGGTCATTATCTATCGACTTATCCTTCCTTTTTAAAATCAAACAAATATTTAAGAAGTTATTACAAAATAAGGTTCAAACGGCCAGCCCATGCCTCACCCATTAAAATACTTAGTAATTTAAATTTTGAAACTGGTAAACAGAGTATCGGCTATCTGATAGTCAACTATATCGCTCCCTTTTGTTATTATCTATAGAAAAATATATAGTGATTGCTTGCTGGCGTTTGAGTTAAAAGTTACTTCATTTTATTGTATAAATCCCGCCTATTTTCAGAACCTGCAAAAATCAAAGGTTTCCGCCGCGGAAATGCTCTTTGGCCTGCCCATGCAGGACACGGGTTTCAAGCGGTACCCGCTTCGGGCTCGTTCGCGGATCATCCAGTATGCCCTGACATTGGTCCTCAAGCACAACGACGTGGAGTATCTGGAGACGCTCAAGGAGAAGCTGCAGCGGCACTACCCGCCGCTGCCACCACTGGCCACGTCGACGGGTGTGCCAGTCGAGGAGCCATCGACGGTCACGTACATATTCTACCCGGGAGAGTACAGGATGTGGGAGCTGGTGCCCTACACGGTGGCCTTCATGCTGGTGTTTGCCTACGTCTACTTCTCAGTCCGGAAAATCGACGTCTTTCGCTCCCGCTTCCTGCTGGCCCTGTGCAGCGTAATCACCACGGCCGGAAGCCTGGCCATGTCGCTTGGCTTGTGCTTCTTTTTCGGCCTGACCATCTCACTGCAGTCCAAGGACATATTCCCGTACCTGGTGATCCTGGTGGGACTGGAAAACAGTTTGGTTATCACAAAGAGCGTGGTGTCCATGGACGAGACGTTCGACGTGAAGATCCGCGTGGCACAGGCTCTGAGCAAAGAGGGTTGGCACATTTCCAAGACGCTGCTGACGGAGATCACCATTCTGACCATTGGCTTGGCCACGTTCGTGCCCGTCATCCAGGAGTTTTGCATCTTCGCCATAGTCGGCCTGCTGTCGGACTTCATGCTGCAGATGCTGCTCTTCTCCACCATCCTGGCCATGAACATCAAGCGGGCCGAGTACACGACGGAGGCCAAGCACCTACCCAAGATGCTGCTGAGCTGCACCCAGGGAGCTGGTCGCCAGGATTTCCGTTTTTTTGGCGCCTCGCCGACGATGCCGCCCTTCGTGCCCGGCACCTTTCAGCGCTCGCAGTCGCATCCGAAGCTCTGCTTTGCCGATGCCGCCTCTGTCAGCGAACGGACGAGCTTGGTGAACGGCCACCAGCCGCAGGAGCAGCGAATACCCAAGCGCATCAAGATTGTGAACTTTTGGGCGCGCACCCGCTTCTTTCAGCGGGCCTTTATGATCTGGATGATTGTGTGGATCTGCTCCATTGTGTACAACTCGGGTTGCCTGGAGCAGCTGTTCAGCATGCAGAGCAACGGCACGATGACAGCGACCCTTGAACTGCAACGGCGATTGCAGGCGGGCCGTGGTGCCGTCAGCAGCTTTTTCGAGGGATGGCAGGCCGGCGGACAGCAGCCGCCTGCGACGAGTGCTCCCAGCAGCAGCGGCTTTTCCACACCCCTACAGGCGCCACTCTCGAAGGACATTAACGAGACGGCCGAGGAAATGCTGCGCCTTCGCTACCCCAACTTTGACCTCAACTATTTCCTCTCGAACTTTCACTGGTCCACGATCATGAAGCAATACAATGTCTCACTGAGCGGCCACTATGTGACCCTGCTGCCCACCATTCGGCTGAGCCATGCCATCACACCGGAACTGGCCGCCCTGCTGCGCAATCCGCAGGAGCAACTGCAACAGAACTTTCAGTGGAAGGCCTTGGCCGCCGCCCTCGATCCGCTGGACTTCAACGACGACGATGTGCGCCGCGAGTCGCCGATGGTTATGGCCGGCGGCATGCCGCTGGTCCCCAAGAGCCCCATGGAAATATTCTTCGCCATCCTTTTGTGCTGCATCAGCATCTTTGTGCTGTGCTACACCATGGTGGTGTTCTACCGCTGCATCTGTACGAGGAACTATGCGGAGTGGCGTTCCAGCTGGCACGAATCGGAGGCACCGTACAAGCAGACCGAGCAGATCCTCGAGGGTGTGCCCACACAGATCGCCGGCCATAAGCACCGCATCGAGTGCCTGGTCTCCGATGGGGCCTACATCATCAGCTGCTGCTTGAAGGGCCAGATTCGTGTGTGGGACGCACGCAGCGGCGAGCAGCTGACCAGCATCGCCCGCTCCGACATCCAGATCTCTCAGCCGCGACCGGATGGACAGACGCTGGTGCGCAAGTTGCCCGTCTCACCGGTTTGGTGTCTGGACTACTTTGACAATCTCATCGCCGTGGGCTGCGCCAATGGGCGCGTTGAGCTGTGGGAATCACCGGCCGGCTTGCTGAAGTGTGCGTACCAGGAGGACGCCAAACGGAACCAGGGTATAACCCACATCCACTTGAACGGCGATCGGGTGATTGTGGCCCGTCTGAACGGGCGATTGGATTTCTACCGTTTGGAGACGTATTACAAGGGAAAGCAGATCGACTGGAGTTTTACCTCGGCCTACAGACGCAGTAGGTCTTCCCGAATGATCTCTTTAAGTGAGTCTTATGAATGACGAGTTTCCCCCCCCCCTTTTCAGCTCATGTCCGAACGGGATCCACTGGCAGTCTGGGGCTGATAATGCAGCAGCAGCGCTGCCAGCAGGATGCCGCCCAGAAGACCACCAAGGAGGAGATGAAAATCACGCTGGAGGGCGTGCGGCTGGCCCATCAGCAGCCCATCACCTGCATGCAGGTGGTCAACGACATGGTCTTCACCGGCAGTCAGGACCACACTCTCAAGGTAAGTGCGAATCTAAGTGCATTGAATCTATTTCTCTAACTCTGACTGGTTTCTGGTTCCCAAAAGGTGTATTGTCTAAACAAAGCCGATGTGGAGTATACTCTGCATGGACACTGCGGGCCCGTGACCTGCCTGTTTGTGGACCGCTGGCAACCGGGCACCGGGGGCTCTGGATCCCAGGATGGCCTGCTCTGCGTTTGGGATCTGTTCACGGGTGCGTGCATGTACAACATCCAGGCGCACGATGGCGCCGTCAGCTGCCTGGCCTGCGCACCCAGCTATGTGATCTCGCTGGGCACGGACGAGCGGATATGCGTGTGGGAGCGATTTCAGGGCAACTTGCTGACCACCTTTAACATCTCCAACGCGTATTCGAGTCTGCTGATGCTAACACCGTCCCTGCTGGTAACCAGCAAAATGGGTAAGACCTTCTCTTGTCGGCCGCCTTGATCGAACTGTTATTAATCCAATTTTTATAATATTACAGGGTCCCTTATCGTGTGGGATGTGCGCACTGGACAGCCAGCCCGCGAAGTCAAGCTGGACTTTGCCAATCTGCAGCTGTGCCCCAAAACTATGATGCTTGCCTGCGACTCGGTGGTCTGCGACTACGGAAATGAGATCCGCGTCGTTCGGTTTCCCATCGTGGCTGACAAGTGCCACTGAAGCGCAGGACGAGATGAAATTACCTTTGCCCGCTAGCCCCTAGGCATAAGTTGACTCTCGGCTCTCAATCGCCTCGAAGCCATTGACGCATTCACTAATTTATACTTTGTTAGGGCTCGCAGGATTTTACTTTCTAACAGTAGAAGTGTGCGTAACGCTTCGCTAGGATTTAGTTGTAATTTTCGGACACTGAGTGTTACAGCCGCTGGCTGAAACTTCGCTAGGCTAAGGAACTAAACTAAATGAAAAGGAAAGATAAGAAAAGAATATACACACATATATTTTCGCGTAACTATATTAACTACATAGTGTCTTAAAGCGCCTCAGCATAACATAAAATGACTAAATGTTAAATTAAATACTATATTTATTAGAATCACCTACGCTTAATTTTCTATATGAAAAGTAAAACTTACAAAAAAAAAAAAAATTCGCTGTCGGATGTTTTTTATTCATTTCTTCGCTGTGTCTTGGGGAGAAGAACAATCGTGGACTGAAAATACTTATGCGCCGAAAAGTATGAATCTTAATAAAATGTTTAAATTTTAATAGGAAGATCAATTTTTAAATATTTTATTTTTAAAATAATAAGTTGTATTACAAGTGTTTTAAAGTATTTATGTTTGGCCGTAAGACATTTGGAGCTAATCACCTTAAGTTTTATTCAATCGTACCGATCTTAATTTAAGCCAAAAAACCTAAATGGCAGTCGTCAGAAATTGAAGTTAACATTTACGTTACATTTGCTAATAAAAATTGTAATTTAAATGTTGACGAAGAAAAAAGATTATACCTTGAGGTGCTAAGCAAATGCAAGGATTTATCCAAGGTAGAATTACTTGTATAGCTATGAACCTCAAATATTTTTCTAAAGTGCACAGAGCAAATTTGAGATTAGAATGCGTGATTGTTTTGGAAAAACGCAATAGTCTCAGGTCAATATGTTAAATTTCGATTTTTTTTTATAATTTGTTGGATTCAGCACTTAATTATTACTATAGAATGTTTATGTCCCTAGATATTTAATCAAAATTGGTTGCATATATCCTATAGCAGCTTTATATCTGTCATACTAACTATATGGTTCTATTCCGTTTTTCGCGCAAAGTAATAGATAGATTAAATGTTTATATGTACACTGATAATGTTTCAAACATTGCCAAAGCTATATCCTATAGCTTCCATAGGAACAATCGGGTATAATTGGGTTGATTTCGAATTATTTTGCTTATTTGCATTTCGGATTCATTTCTTGACTGCAAGGGAAGTTAAACCATCAGATTGTCGAAATAAGCTTCAGTTCCATTTTAATTCATTTATTTATTTTTTATTTAACAATATGGACAACAAAATGAAATACTGGTAAAAATGTAACAGAAGGATTACTCATTCGCCATGATGGTTGCATGGGCAAACATGTGAGCATGGTGCAAAAGTTTATGTTACCCCAGCTAACGAATTTCATTAAATAATGATCAATGGTCGAAAAAATCAGCATCTTAAAATAGCCGAAAATACCATTAAACACCAGAATTTCTTACAAATTGGATTTTTGCAGATTACTATCTAATGTTTAAAAGCATTTGCAAAGTAAGCTGGTAAGTTGAATGGCCAAAGAGAGTTAATGTTGGAACGCAAGTTAAGAGCAGTGTCTCTTTCACATATTTAAGAGAACAGTGTTTTGTTTTATTTTTAACAGCTGATTTTGTTTCTTTTTGTTTTCGTTAAATATGATTCTTGGAATTTGTTGCTCTTTGTCAACAAAAGAAAGCGGCAGCGATGAATAAGACAACAAAATACATACGTATAATTAAGCAACCCTTTATGCAAACAAAAGTGCAGTCGGATGAATACCAGTAACTTTCACATGTTCATCTGAGTAGTAGATACTCTTAAGGGGAATCTTGAAGATAAAAAAAGAGCTTCCGCTACAGGTGTTGTTAAAGTAAACGAGGTTGTTTGGCCTGTTTATAACAGGAAAGATCATTTGCCATTAAAAGTTCAGCAATTGAAAAAGTTTGAGCGTAGAATGAGTAAGTGTGTGAGCGGGGGTATACCCGGAGATACTATCTAAGCAGGAAAAAAGAGAGAGACCCATGGCGAGCTCTGGTTATCAGCCGTCTCGGAGATAACACATACAACGGTGTGCTATTAGCACCGTGCACAGTGGGTCAAATTGTCTTTCTCTTGGCAAAGGTTCAATCAATAATATATATTATGATATATTTAGGCTTGGGAACCAATTAACTAACACGTTTGCACCACGTCTACATGTTTGGCCATACAACCAACATGGCGTATAAGTAATACATTTTATTTTGAAAATTTTATTAGGCATATTTATTTTAATTATTAAAGTATCTGTTATTTGAAATATTTTTATGTAGATTTTAAGTTAAGATATTAAAAAACGGCATTTGTTAAAACTTTTGATGTGTAGATACAACAGATCCACAAAGCATTGTGAAAGTTTTGCTATCGTTTAACACTACAATTACATTTTTAATTTTTGATTCAATCTACCTTACATACATATAAATAAAATACAAACAAGATTTTAAAAATAAGTTTGGTTTATGCTAAAAAAACAAATGTTTTGCGGCCCAGTGTGCTTTGGTGAAGGGTCGTCGAGGAGCTGGATAAAATCAGATCAGAGCGGCGGGGGGCATCCGATGAATAAGCCACCTTATCTCGTCGCTCTCTTTATGCGGAATTCTTTTCGCCATTCAGTCCCGCGAGAATCGCCGTTCGGAGCAGAAGTGCGACACGCCACATACACATAGCTACTGCGGAACAGAGCGAGATAAAGATTGAAGGCTTCGAACACACGCCAAACCGGAGCGATAATGGGTTGGTGGAGCAAGAAAACCGAGACGGATCGCAGCCAGCCCAGCCAGAGCCAGGCGCTGGTGGTGCAGGACCCGCGCACACGCGTCAAGACCACCAGTGCGTCCACGGCGACGACTAACACGGCCGTGCAGAACTCGACGATCACGAACAGCAACACACAGACGATCACCTTCCAGTCCACCCGGCAAACGGTGACGCACTCACAAGTGGCGAATGTCACAGAGATGGTAACACGTCGCACGCCCAGCCAGGCGGAGCTGGAGCTGCTCCTCGCCCAGATGCGGATGGGTGGTGACGGAGCCAGCGGCACAACCACAACTACCACGACCACCACCTCCTCCCGTTCCCGACCGCCTAGCCTAAATGGGGTCTCCTTCCGCTCCACACAGCCGTTCAAGGCCACGGCCAGCAATGGCGGCAAGCGGTCCAGCACGATAGTTAAGACCGAGCAGACAACCGTGACCAAGAAGAACGGCAATACGGTCACCCAGCATGTGGAGACGCAGCGCGTGAAACTGAAGGGCAGTAAGCCCACCTGGGCGCCGTTCTCCTCCACGGCCAAAAGCTCCAGCTCCACCTACGTCTCTCCCTACGCCAAGAAGCCGAGCCTGGCCATAACCTACACATCTCCATACGCCAAGGCTCCAACAGGAGTCACCAGTTCGAGTGCCACCAGCTCCGTTACAAGTCTGTCCAGTCCTTCCAAGCCAACGCCATCCAGCTCTTCGTTCACGAGCATCTTTAAGTCAACCCCCAAGCCAGCTGACACCGTGCTGACCTCCACTGCCGTGCCCAAACCCTTCGTCAGTCTAGCCGCATCGGCAACCAAGCCCAAGGTTACGACCACACCACGCAGCTTTGACGCCCAGGGCACCAATCTACTCAGCCTGGGAAGTTCAAAGTTCAGCCTGAGCAAGAAGAAACTGCAGCCCGCCAGGGTGTATATCTTCAATCACGAGCGGTTCGACAGCAAGAATGAGTACCGTACGGGCAGTGCCCAGGATGTGAAGGTCCTGCGCGCCTCCTTTGAGCAGCTCAAGTGCAAGGTGGAGGTGATCAAGGACGCCACTTTGGCCACCATCAAGCGAACAGTGCATATGCGTAAGTATAGTCAGAGATCACTTTTGTAAGTCAATCCACATCTCAACAATTATGTGTCACAGTGGAGACTAAGGACTTTGGGGAGAAGAGCGCTCTGGTCCTGGTGATCCTCACCCATGGAACGCGCAACGACAGACTCGCGGCGAAGGACGATGACTACTCCCTGGACTACGACATGCTCTTTCCCATCCTGCGCAACCAGACGCTGAAGGACAAGCCCAAGCTGCTGTTCGTCCAGGCCTGCAAGGGCGCCAACGAGCTGGGCGGCTTCATGACGGACGCCGCCCAGCCCAATGGGTCACCCAACGAGATCCTCAAGTGCTACAGCACCTACGAGGGGTATGTCTCCTACCGCACCGAGGACGGTACTCCGTTTATCCAGACCCTGTGTGAGGCACTCAACCAAAAGGGCAAGACCTCGGACATCGACACCATAATGACGGACGTGCGACGGGTGGTCAAAGCGCAAACCAAGTGAGTGGACAAAATGGAGTCCTATTTCAGGCCAATTATAATTGGGCTTCCTTTTTTTTCAGAGACGGCCAAATCCCATCTGTTACCAGCACACTCACCTCTAAGTACGTTTTTGGAGATTACATGTGATCCGTAAAAGTATTTTGTACCACAACTCTTCCTTTATCTTAAACATGGACCATTAAGGAAACAAACAATATTATTATTTTAATTACTTCCGGGGGGCGCTAATGATTGTTGTGATTCACTAACAATAAAATGCATACATAGTTCTATTAGAATCAACATCGATTTCTGATAAGTATACTTTGGGCTTTTATCTTAAGTGTTGGTGTGGAAGTAGACAGGATGTATTTTTGTATATTCATTATCAGTGCTTGAGCCTTAAGCCAGTAGATAAAAAGTGGGAACACCGCTTGGTGCGAAATCAGTAAATCAGAAAGTAAAACTTATCAAATTGGTGACTAGCAGCACGCAGCTCGTTTGCAATTTGAGCAAACTTTTGTTATAGACAAAAGGTCTCCATATATGTTTGTAGTCTTGCTTCGATCGTATAAATGATTTTGCGTGTGAAGTTCTCTCAAACAAAACCAAGAAGGGGATAGGAGTCAAAAACGACCATATATCACAGAGATTCCAATTCGAACTCCCCATCTAAGTCCATTTCGAGTTCTTACTCTTGAATTATCCCTACTTAAACTAAGAAAACCCTATCGTACAGGGATTTTCTTATGTTAAAGGTCAAAAACCTAGTAATGTTTTGTATTTAAATAATTAATAACTATCTTATTAAAAAGTTCATAGTACACCACAATTTGTGAATATAAAATTCAAATAATTATTTTATTAGTTATACCGAAATCAAATCAAAAAAATAAAGGTCAAATAAATCTGCATCATTTTTTGTTGGTGCTGTATTTTTTGTTGAGCCAATAGAGCTAGGTTAGGTTCTTTCTTGTTTTTGATTATTTAAATTATCGTAAAT